AAAAAAAAAAAAAAAAAACATTTTTTTTTTTTTAATTAACTCATTAATTGATTTTTCTTTCTTCTTTTTTTTTTGCTATTGTGACTGCCCTTATTTCTTTTTTACATGATGCACTAAACTGAAGTGAGGCAATGAAAACTATTGCCCTCATATCTGGTGGGAAGGATGGTATCCTCTCAATGCTGCTAGCGCTGCGGTATGGCCACGAGCCTGTTGTGGTGGCAAACATTGCCCCCATGAGTAGCGAAGAATCTCAATCTGTGGATGAAATTGACTCCTACTCTTTTCAAACAGTAGGACATGAAGTGGTAGAGTCTATAGCTGTTTGTCTAAAATTGCCTCTTCGTCGTGCTTTCATTAAAGCTGGACAGTCAAAAGTTCAAGAGCTTCACTACACCTCTAACCGTGATGATGAGGATGAAATTGAATGCCTTTATCGTCTCCTTCGCTCTGTAAAGGAAGAGTTTCCAGAGGTTAGGGGTGTAACGACTGGTGCAATTCTTTCACACTACCAACGAAACCGTGTAGAGGACGTATGTAGTCGTTTAGGGCTAGAATCACTCGCATTTCTTTGGAAACGACCAGCAGATGAAGTTCTTGATATAGTTTCCACATTACATGTGCGTGCTATTCTTGTAAAGACTGCATCCATTGGTCTCAATCCGAAGGTTCATCTTGGTATGTCTTTAGAGGATGTGCGACCAGTTCTTGATAAGGCACAAGAGATGTATGGTACCCATAGTGCTGGTGAGGGAGGTGAGTTTGAAACTATCGTACTTGACTGCCCTTTATTTAAAGAACAGAGGTTGGAGGTTGTATCACTTGAGCGTGTAATTGTAGACGATAACGAGTACTCTCCCTCTGGCCATGCGAGGTTAAAGGTGAGATTAATTGAAAAAAATGATAATGAAAAGAATGCAGATATAGAGTTGTTAAAGAGTCTTCCGTCATTAATATTCCCCTCAGATCGTATGAAATTTCTTCCACGTGCAGAAAATATATTACGAACTTCTTTTGAACTCTTGGAATCATCAGCAATTCCCATGTCATCTGAAAATGACAGTAATTTCTGGGGACGCATGTGCGATACGTTTAAAAGTAATATTTACACTAATTATGAACAATTGATAGCTTCTTTGGTGAATCTACTTAAGCGAATCGTGGAAAAAATGGAAGAAAGTAAACGTGATATATTTTTCGTATTGATTTTTTCACCATCCCTTGATTATTTGAATGCCTTTAAGGAAGTGTTTACTCAAATCTTTTCAGGTGTACGTCCACCTGGATATACTTTTGTTGAGAAATCAGAGCTAACAGAACTCCGTTTCGATGTGCTTTCAGCACCAACATCTCTGATTGATCGCGCACTTTTGCATGTTCGAAGCATTAGCTGTTGGGGTGCTGCCTCAATGGATATCTGCTCTACATCAAATGCTATTACTATTGAAAAAGAGCGACATGTTCTTGTTAGTGGCTCTATCGGACTCATACCCGTTTCTCAACTTCTGGCATCCGTTAAAGATATGCCGGAATTAGAGACAGTGACGTTTTCACATTTTTCTAATATTATAAAGTTAGAAGAAGATGTGATTCGAGAATTTATTGTTCAATTTGCTTTTACATATGCGAATAGTGTTATTGGGTTAACACATTTTGGTGCTAATGCAACAGATGCAACACATGCAACTTTTTTTCTAACAGATATGCGTTTTGCGCCACTATTACCATTTTTATGGCATTGGTGCACAAACTCCGTATCTCGTCTCGTTTATTTCGATATTAATTTACATCCTTGTGTCTCAACGGATTCACTTGTTCTGTATCGTGTAGTGCACGTTACTCGACTTCCCTTTGATTCCGCAGTTGGGCTTATACTGGAGCAACGTCTTTCTCTTTCAGAAGATTAAAAAAAAAATAAAAGAAAAAGTAAAAAGAAAGAAAAGATTTTTACAAGGCTCAGGAAGAGAAAAAGAGGCACTTGTATGCTTTTTTTGGAATGAATAAAAAATAAAAAAATAAATATGGTTTAATTTGTGGTTCTAAATATTATGTATACGTATATACTTTTATTCACACCCTTTCTATTTATGGAAATACAATCTTTTTAGTGTTATGTGTTTTTTTTTTTTCTCTTTTTCTTTGTATCCTTTTTTTTTTTTTCTGATAAATTATAACAGTAAGAATTACCGAAAACAGTAAAAGGCCAAACATGATGCAAACAAACATTGGGTCTGCATACGTATATGTAAATGGCGAAAAAATGAGTCTTCTTGAGGATGGGCGGCTTGCATTGTATCATCGATTTCCCATGGGAGCAGTACTATACGATCCCAGTGAATTTCCACCATGTGAAGTGCCTCTTTCTACTGATGCAGCAGAGCACGGTATTACATCTCGAAGACTAATTCCATATGGACACTATGAAGTTTATCTTCCTGATGATGTAACGGGAGAGTTGCTCCCACTCACTGGGGAAAGTATGTGCGTTTATGTCACGAATTTGCCACCAAACACGACTGCTGAAATGTTGGGGCGATATTTTGAGGCATTCGATATGGTGGCAGAAGCTGATATATTTACAACTGCATCAGGTGTCTGTAGTGGACGAGGTTGGGTGATATTACAGGACCCAACGAAACTCTTATTAATTCCTCCTCTACTAGAATTTTTTCCACGCTACTTTATTCGTACAGCTCTCAGTGACAAGGCTCCTATGCGTACAACAATACAATCAATTCCTGCTCCAGGGATTCAGATACTTGGTAGTATTGCTAACTCTTATACAGATCCATCTTTTAATCGCAGTCGAGGTGGAAACCATAAACGATCGAATGGTATGGGTGGATATAACAATTCCAGTGCTAGTGCACCCAAACCACCTGCACCATTGACTGGAAGTGTATTAAGTACAAGCATTTATTACTTTGTTGCCTTTATACAAAAAAGTGAGATTGAAAAATCTGTTGAAAATGGTGTTTTCTGGCCTAGTCCTGCGAATCGTCGAGCCTTTTACTCTACTCTTGATAGAGGTCCTGTCATTATTATATTTGTTTTGCAAGAGTGTTCTGCTATCTTTGGTTACGCACGATTACTTCCTCAGAGGGATACAAATAACGGAGGATCTTCTGCTTGTCCTATTGAATGGATGAAACATCATATTTTTCTTCAAGAAGAAGATATGCGATATATTCAAAGTGTTCCTATCGCTAGAATAGGTGATGGAATCCCACTAAAACCTGAAATAGGTGACAGTATATGTCAGTTGGCAGACCAATTTCCAGCTTTGACGAGTATTCCAGATGGATTGGGGTATCATTCACCCAACGGTAGACATGTAATGCGTGGTCCTGCTGCTGTTGCTGCTGCTGCTGGTGGTGGTGGTGGTGCTCAACCGGTTGGTGAAAGAGATATATATTTAAGGTCCAGCGCATTGGCAACACCACCACAACCACTTGGTGTGCGAAATCTACCTCTGAGAGGAGGAGGAGGAAGTAGTGTTAATTCGGGAGTGAATAACAGAAGTAGAGTTCCGCCCCGACGACGTATGTACCATGATTGATTCAACACATATATGTCACTTGGAGGCGGAGTGGCACCTCCACGAAAGGTTTAGTGTGTGCCAAAACCGCTTTTCATCGACACGAAGTTAAGGCAGGACTAAAATTTTTTTAATTTTACCTCCTTATATTATTGGGCAATAATAAACCTGCCATTTTTTCTGTTTCATTGATTGGTGTAATTTTTGTGGTGTGTATTCTGTAACTGCATGCGTGTGTGTTCGAAAGAAGAGCAATTTTCCCTACAGGTGTGTGTGTATATATATATATGTGTAAAGGGGCAGCGCAACTCCTTTTTTACTTTACCCTCAATGGATAAGTTTTTCACAAATAGGTGTTTGCAGATGTGCACTCCCGTGCCTACTCTCGTACTGCCTAAATTAAAGCCAGCTGCCTCCTCAGAGGGAGTGGCATTCTCTTTTCCCCCTCTTTTTTTTTTTCTTCTCGTCGCTTTCTTCCTTAGTTTTGCCTCGCCGTGACACACCTATATCGTGTGTTACGGTATGTATCGCTGTATTTACTACCAAATCCCAACGTATTAAATTGTTACTAATACATGACTATAGAAATCCCTTTGTCATTTATTCTTTCTTTTCTTTTTCTTTTTTGTTTTTGTTATCATTTTTATTTTTCCTAGGCAGTTGCATTGGTTCACTTTTTATTATCCACAATCTCTTGTGGTGCGTGTTATATATATATATATATATATTTCTTGCAGGTTAAATGTGGGGCCAAACGGAGGACATTTCGGGTTTTTCGTATCAGGGGCAACATCAACAGCAACAGCAACAACAACAACAAAGATATCTGCAGAGAACTAATGATGACGATAATACTATGTGTCCTTCCTTAAATGACTTTAGCCACATCATTGAGGCTGCACATATCACACTTTCCACTACTGGGATAGCTGCTCAGTCTTTTAATGTTCTTAATTTTTCTGCGAGCGATCAACCTTCACTTTCTGTTGACAGTGTTACAGAAGGTCTGTTGACACCAAGGAAAGGTTGCTCGAGATGTGCGCACCTTGGTAGCATTCGTGAGACACTTAAGAGTGTTGAATCCTCATATTTGGAAGAAATTTCACAGTTAAAACGTATGATAAATCAAATCGATAGTGAACGTGTTGACGCTGTTAACCGATCGGAAAAGATACTCTCGGGGTTTGATCGTTGTAGACAACAAATCCTATCAAAGGATCATGAAATTCAGGTACTTAGAGGACAACTACGTCAGGTTGAAGATAATTTACAACGCTCTGAATATGAAATAGCTTCTATGAGACATTTGCACATGCGTGATGTTGCATTTTTTAATCAGCGAGAGATTTTATTTTTCTCAGAGAATGAACAGTATGCCAGGGCAGCGATATTGTCATTAGAGGCAAATTGTTGGTCTGAAATCTTTACCAAGTTCATGAATGAATGGAGCCCTATTCAAAAAATGGAAGGTCTTTCACTTTCATGCCGTTGGCAGGAAGTCCCAGGAGTATCCCTCATAGGCAGTAATAACAGTAGTGGTATAGAGGAGCATTCTTCATTCGGCGGAGGACTTTCTCCAAGTCCAGTGCAGATCCGTTCCCCCTCCATTACTCGTTACGCTGAGACAACCCGTGTAAATAATATGGGAGTATTGAAGCCTGCATTTAAGGGTGGCCTATTAACAGAGCTTAGAGAATCGAAAAGGAATGCTGATGAATTAAATGAAAAATTACAGTGTGAACTTACCAAGAAGGAAACTCTAATTTCAAACCTAAAACATCAACTTTCTATACGAGAAGAAAGTATTCGTCGTTTATCGCAAGAGTCTACAGAAGGGGAAAAATTAAACAAAGAAATGCAAGAAGAAATTGATGATATGCTTCGCACAGAAGTTTTACTTACACAAAAATGTGAACGCCATTCTCTGGAAACTCAAGCTATGGAAGAACGACTTGAAGTGTTGTATTTTTTTATACGACAAAATACTATTTTACCAGAAAAACATATTGATTCTGTTCTTAGAACACCAGAGAAACAAACCCTCGCTGCACTTAAATTAACACCAAAATTTATAGGGACACCACCAAATTTGTTTAATGGACGTAGTATGATAGAGTCAAGTTCGCAATGTAGTGGGAATGGACTCTCTGAAGATGTTGCCATTCTTGTCTCCCGAACTGTGGAAGATACAGTGCAAAAAGTTATGCAGGGTCATTTACTCCCACTAAAGCTTTCTGTAGAATCCATTCGTGCAAGCTCAGATGAACTACACAGGACTATGAGAAAAGCTGTTGAAGACTCTTACCATCATGAAGATCCCTCTAAAAAGATTATTGAAGAACTAAAAAAAGAGTTTGGAGGTTTTATTACTGATATCAAAGATATTTTGCAAAGTTATACAACCATAGTGAATACAAAGGATGAAAAGGTTGAAATTGCAAACCTACGATCTACACTAAAGAAAGTAGCCCGATTAATGTCACATAATGCCAAAGTAATGGATGATAAACTCAATGATATTCTACTCTGCCAGTCGGCGGTGGCTAGACAAAGGGCTGTCTCAGATGTAATATCATCTGTAGAAGGGAAAGTGTACGACATTGAACCTCTAAATGCTTCATCTACTCTTACTTCGTCTGGGGTGGAGGTATCAACAACTGTTTCTCCTGTTCCTAATATAGAAAAAACGGTATCTCCTAAATCTAAGCATGTAAGGTTTGATTTGACTCATTATGATTCTTCTTTGACTGGTGAAAAACATGATAATACTTTGTTTAACACTTCAGTACCACTATCACATGAGTGGGACGTTGAGGTGTCAGATGATGAAACTGTCCCATCACCTCCTGCTTCTTCCATAAAAAGGAGAACGCCCTACGATATAGATGACGCATGATATTGTGAAGGATCTTTAGTCATATTAATTGAACCGTCTTTTTCTCATTTCATACTCATAAAGATGGTCATAAAGTAGTACAAGATATGATACATATATTGTATCAAGTGAACGAAAAGAAGAAAGAAGAATAAGAAAAAAAAAAAAAAAATGATCCAATAAGGATACATTCCATAGACTACAAGTAGAAGTTTTCCTGTTTTGTTTATTTTATTTTATTTTTTTTTTTTCTATCATCTGAGACTACAAGAGTACAAAGCATCTCAGGTACTATTTCTTAGTACGATATTGTTTTTTTTTTTTTCCTTAATGTATCCCCTTTTGAGTTTGTTTAATATTTCTTAACCCTGCAAATCCCTTTTTTCCTTTTTCTTTTTTGTTTGAATAATCTGTAGAATAGTGTTATGATGATAGCTGGTACTAAAAGGGCGAGGGAAGATAATGACGAGTTGACGACGGAAGTTTCTGCCGCAGTACGGCGTATGTCTAATGAAGTAGATGATATGATTGGGAGTGTCGGGAAGGTGAATAGTGCCGTCTTGGACTCCGCCGTGCAGGCGAGTACACTTCTGCAGCACATGCTGAGCGCCTCCAGCACCTCCAACGTGCAGTTGTGGGAACTACTCACACAGAGTCAAGAGAGTCGCACAGCAACGGCACTGAGTCACATTCGAACTGCTGATGACGCTCGTCGTAACGCTCTATCTGTTTCTGTATTACAACAACAACTGACAAACTCTACCGTATCCGCAGCAGAAGAAGTGGCGAAAGGTCTTGACACTGCCAACAGTACAGCAGTCACTTTGTTTTCATCACAGTTAGCAGGTGAACAAGAGACAAATGAAAAACTTGTTTCACATGCTCAAGAGTTTATGCGAAAATCTCTTGATGCGATACAATCATATTCACGTAGGGCGTTAAATGCTGAACTTTCTTTAACTAAAAAAAATCTTGCAGTTGCCCGACTTCAAAGTTCTCTTTCCTTTTATCAGAATGCGTTTTTGAGGCATCATAGTGAAATTTTGTCTCTAATCAAAATTGTTCGTCTTCTTGCTGCAAAAAATAAAGATGCGGATCTTGCAAACTCCGAATTACGTCAGGCTAAAGCGCATGTGAGACTGTTAGAAAAACAATTGGATCTTGCTGGAATTGTTCATGCTATTGTACCACCAGATTTTGTTCCTTATTGTACACCTTCACCTCCTCCTTGTGAGGCATTAAAACGCAACGCACCGGAGTATTTTGCTCTAAGACTTCTTGAACATAAAGATATGACGCTTTCCGAGCTTGTAGATTCATGGCAGAAACAAGAATCACGCATAATGGTCGCAGAGGAAAAATGCCGCGATTTGGAAAAATCTGCAGAAACGCTAAGGCGTGAAGCTCTCGTAGTCCATCAGGGATTTCTTGAGGAGAAACGTCGCCGGGAAGTTGTGGAGCACCGCCTTGTGGATATTGTGCGGGAACGCATTAACCCAAGTGGCAATGACGCTCTTCTGCGGCAGCTTACACAGTTACGGTCTGATTACACGAAGGTGCTGGATGATTCCGCACAGATTGCAACTTCACTCAGTTTGACCCGTGAGATATTAGCCAGAGAACAAAAACGAAATGCCATGTTAGAGGCGAAAATGCAAGAAATGAAAGATGATGCTGAAGTTGATGAGGTGGCTAATACATTGTCCTCACTAAGGCGCTACTATGAGGAGGAACTTGAACGTTTAAGAAACACTGTGGTGGATGCAGAGACACAGAGTGCTTTGGCAGTGACGCATGCAGAGGAGCAACAGGAATTAGCTGTAAGTGCATATAATGCTCTAAAACTCACAGAACAAACTGTTACAGATATTTCTGCTGCTCTTTCTCGAACAGAAGAGCAAATATTAACAGAACAGCAGCGAATAGGTGTTAGTCATATTAATAGTATTGCGCAGGATGGACTTGAGGCCATTGCACAGAGTGAGGCTCATCTCAAGAAGGCAATGTCGTCATTTCAGAAAGTAATGAGTGAGACAGAGACAAAGCGTGAGAAGGACTTGGCAACTTTTGGAGAACAAATTACACAACTTGTTGCATCATTTAAAACTCTTCAACCTATTGCATCTCATAACAGTGAAGATACGACAGGAACTAACACAATGGTTTCAAAGCAGCAACAACAAGAGATCCGAACTATGATGAGGGAAGCACTAACATGGGCGCTACAATTTGTCTCTGATGAGTTGGAAACAGGTGAAGCATCAAAGACAGCTCTTTTAGATACGTCTATCTCTGATGCACGTAATGTACGTTTACTATTTGAAAAAGTACGTGAATTAACGGAGGAAAGAGATGCGGCACTAGATCGTTTAGCACGCTGTGAACGTCTTATTGATCAGCATAGTCTTACTGCTATTGAACGTGTACTTATGCACGAAGTTTCTGTTGAAGATTCACTGGATGCTATTGAAGCAACTGAACAAATTGCGACGCTACGTGATAAAGTATCCTCTCTTGAAACTATTCGTTCAGCTGCTCTTGCAGAAGTAGAGGGGTTGCGTGCAGAACTTCAACGTGATTGCGAACTCAATGAGCATAGTGAAGTTCGTCTCAAACTTCTCGAACGACAGAACAGCCGTCTCGTAACATCACTGCAGGAATCTTTGACGCGTGAGGTGACTCTTATTCAACAGGTACGTCAGTTGCAGCAAAACTTGAAGCGATGGGCACCATGCAGTGAAATGGAAGTTGAAGGTCGTGAAGGAACACCAGAAACAACACCATTAACAGAGTCAACCAAAACAGCAACAGTAGTCGTAGAAGATCTGAAGCCAGAAGAACAACAACAAGAAATGGCGAAGCGGTTAGAAGAGCTGTGCAGTTCTATTCTAGAAATGAAGCAGCAGCTTGTGCAGATGCAAGTGACGACATCTACAAAGAGTACGCCCGGCGATGAACAGGAAGAGACACAGTTGCTACGTCACGGTGTGCGACACGTGGCGGATGCTCTGCGTGAAACACTACGCCGCGCTGAGTTATTCCGGCATGCGCTGCCAGTAAACACTACAACATTAACGGGAACAGAAGCCCCGTTAGGGGAGACGACTGAATCTGAGAACACAACTGATGAAGTTGCTGAGGTGCGACATCGTCTTGAGACGTCTGTTAACGCTCTCGCGGCTGACGTTACGGCGCGAGATGGAGAATTGTCACGACTGCGTGGCGAACTGGACGCCCGCGAGCAAAGAGAAGAGGCACTGAAAAAGGCACAGGAAGATTTGGTTCAGCAGAATGCAGAGCTTCAGCGAAAAGCTGCAAGACTTGTGCATATCAATAAACAGCTCGTAGAGGAGTTAAAGGCCGCCCGGAATACCGGCGAAGCTTCACCAACTTAAACACAGGAATGAAGAAGAAAAAAGAAAACAAAAAAAAAATAAATGAAAGAGAAAAAATAAATTAAAAAAAAAGGATAAGTGGAATACATCTTTTTTTTTTCTCAATGTATTCGTGAAGAACATCTTTTTTTTTGTTCTTATTTTTTCCACCGTTTTTGTTATTGTTTTTTTTTTTTTTTTCTGGTACTATATCCCACTCTGACATTGATAGACTTTGGTTTACAACAAACAAAAAAGAAAAAATAAACCCTGACATCTGTTCTTCTATTTCTCATTTATTTCTTTTTTCTCTTTCTTTTTTTTTGATAGAGGAGGGGTGCACTCTCTCTTTTTTTTTTCTTTCTCTCTGTGTTAATCGTACTTGTACTTGTACTCCTCCACTGAAATGATGAACGAACGCAAGCTTAATGTGAGGTTCGCTGATATTAGCGAGGAGATGCAGAACGACGCTCTAACTGTCGCTGCCAAGGCAATTAAGGAGCATCAAATGGAGAAGGACATTGCCACGCATATAAAGAGGGAGTTCGACAAGCGCCACAATCCTACTTGGCAATGTATAGCAGGACGTAGCTTTGGTGCTGATGTTGCTCATGAAAGCAAGCATTTTATTTATTTTTATGTTGGTCAGATATCCATTCTCCTTTGGAAATCTAGCTAACTGTTTGGTGAACCAACAATGTAGATACACTACCATTTCATTCTATGGGTAGTAGCTTTTATTTTTTTATTTTTTCGCTGCTACCTTTCTTTGTGTGCGTATGGTTTCTCCCATCTGTGCATGCTTCATCTCCAGGGGAGGGAGTGGGGGTGGCGGGGTAGATCTCTTTACCGTTGTAATGAGTATTTTCTTCTCTCTTCTACTTTTTCTCTCTTTCTTTGCTCTCTCTCTCTCTCTCTCTCTCTCTCTGGCTGTGTCTATGGAAGGTGGAGTTGTTGTGGATGATTGTGGTAGTGCGGGAGTACGGCGCGGCGGAGGTGCGGCGGCTCTGCGGGGGGCGGCCCCTGGCGGCGCTCTACACGTGGCGGCTGGAGGAGGCCCCCGGGGGTTCACAGGCAGAGAAGAGAGCCACGGCCGTCAGCGTCATGGATCCCACAGATGCGCGGGCCCGGCGGACGGTCAACTTGGATGTGTACGCCGCAAACCCATCGGCCCTCTTCGCCGCCGTGCGCCCCGCCCTGCGCGCTATTCTGCCGCCCATCGCAGCCCCGCAGGTCGTCATCGTCGTCGACGGCACGCGGCTTACACGCACACACGCGCTGCTCCACACGGATGACGGACTGCTGCCGCAATGCTGGCGTCTGCTGCACACCACTCCAGATTTTAACCGCCTTCTAGCCACTGTGCACATTGCCGTTGTTGAACTGGATGACCATAACAAACTACGAGATATCACTCCAATAACAGGAGCATCAGCAGCAGCAGCAATGGTAGAGCCAGACATCATAGAGGATGACGAGGATCACTTTACATCCGTCGAAGACGCCTCATATTTAGAACTTAGAAGTGAGGAAGATTTAATGACAGTAATACACCACGTCGATCAGGTTGCATCACCTGATCGTCACCAAATATTTAGTTTCATACTCACCTTTAAGAAAGAGACGGGATTACCAAATTCTACTATACAATTTATCTCCTTTACACTCTCTGAGGTAGGTAAAGGCATACGCTCAACACGACACTGTGTAACCACAGCCGCTTCTCTTATAGAGAGCCGATCTCCTTCAATCACTTTTGCAGGAACAAAACTATCATTCCTACTTAAACCTGCTCTACTTAAGCAGCAATCTGGTGTATGGATTTCGTGCTTCGCCCCATCAACCCCACCAGAGGAAACAGAACGAGAAACCTTTCGGGAGGCTTTTTGTATCGCCTATACGGCAAGTCGCGTGTACAGTTCGCGTATCGGAGTAGAAGTAGCAGAACCCACCTTTCAAGTTTTTTCTGATTTAGATCAACGTTCCCTTTTCAATAGTTATGATGAACAGGCAGAAATTCTTCCACGTGTCAACATACCCACACCGTATAAACTAGGTTCATCATCATCACCATTACCATTGAAATCCCCAAATTCCATCCCTCAACAACGTGTGAAGGATGTGACGCATCGATTAAAATCTATACAATCCCCTTATAACACTTCTAGGGAAGTAGGGGATGTTGGTCTTATTAATACTCCTTACAATCAAAGACCAGTGAATATTAGTGACAGGGTAGGTTCAGAGGAGAAACGATCGGGCCATACAAATAGTATTCAAAAAAACCGTCAACAACAAACGAATCGTCTACCATACGATCGTTGTAGTTCACTTGAGAGGCATCCATACAATTGTAGTGCCAGATATGAATTAGAGACATATAAAAGGGTAATGGAACCAGCTATGGATCAATTGCGACGAGATATTCAACACTACATGAAGTTGTTAGAAGATGCCAGACGTCAGATACGTATGTTTAGGCGAGGAAAAGAAGCAGATGAGCAAAATAAAGAGATGGAGATAGAGGTTCATCAGTTACGGAAATCGCTTTCAGAGGCTACCCGTCACTGCAAATTTCTAGAAACTGAGTTTGCCAGACGAGAGGAGGAATTAAGGGCAAAGGTAACGGAAGTTCAAGCTCAATTTAATGAAGTTACTAGTAAAACGAAATTGTATGATTTACAAGATGTCTCTTTACAGACGGATATTAAAAATCGACAACACAGTGTTGCCACACAGACACATGCTTCACTTTCACAGTCTCCGCAGCAATCGCATTATACAGGAAATAATGGTTTGGTAACCTCCGAAAAATTACAGACACAACAACAATCACCGGTACCATTACAGTCGAATGATACAAATTTTACCACTCAATGGCTTGAGGTGGTTGGTTTTCACCAGCGGGAATTGGAAGAGCACGTTAGCCGTGAACGAGCTTACCGTAGTCGAATTATGAGTTTAGAAGAAGCACTAAGTGAACGTGATGCTGAGATTGCCAGGATAAATACAGAACTGATGCAGCGAGAGCAGCAGTTCTCTTTAGAAGAATTGAAAAATCAGCAGAAGGAACATGAACGGCAAATAGAAAGGCGTCATGCCGAAGGTTTGGAGCAACTTCGTGCAGAAATGCTTGAAGCACAGAGAGTAAGCACCGCAACGGAACACCGTCTTGAGATGTGCCTCAGAGAATTAAAAGAGGAACGTAAACTTCGGGAAGCCTCTGAAGCTGAATTGCGGCAGTTGCAGACGACATGTGCCCAACGTTTGGAGAGTGGCACCGCGAAAGAGATGATGCTCTTACTAAAAGAAACATATGAACGTCAGTTTCATCATCTACAGCGAGAGGTAGAGGAGCTACGTCAACGTTCGGTACAGACAACACCGAGGGAGACGACTCCACGTGGCAGTAACTCGGTGGCATCCACACCGAGGCGAAACTCAAGTGTGCGTCAAACGGCTGGTGGTATGCTTTCTCCTGCTGTGGAACGAGATGGGAATTCCTTTGTACCAGCAAGAATTGCACAAAAGACAGAAGACTCTGCATCTTATGGCGTGGCTGCAGCACCCTCTGGGAGAGTACAGGTGGCCGTTGTGGGAGGGGATAAGAGACAATTTGAAGACTTTATGAATGAAGAGTCATCGTACACTTTTCATCTTCCGAAGGCACTCGAGCGGATTCGCTCTTAAGGGTGTGTAGTCTCTTTTATTTAAAGATGTCTTTGTAGGGTACTGTTTTTTTTTTTTTTTTGTTTTTGTTGTTGTTGTGTAATTTATTTATATTCTTTCGGACGGATGATTGTGAAGATGAAAGATATAGGGAGTGAAACATAAACACGAAACTTTAAAAAGAGCAACGAAAAAGCAACTCGTGTATTGCCCATTCATTTTATATATGTGTACTATATATTTATGCTGAGGACCTAGTAAATGTCCTACTACCGTTTTTGTTCGTATCAGTCTATAGCCAGCTACACTCCCCTCTCTCCTGTTTTAAAAGAAATGTTTTTTTTTTTTTCTTTTTCTTGTATCACACTTCTGCGTTCTTATATACATATATATATTTCTTTCTTTTTGTTATTCCTTTGCTGTTTTTTTTTTTTTTGTCGCTGAAAAAAATAATTGTAGGAATGAAACGACGTCGCTATGATAGCGATGATGATGATGATAATGACACATATGCGGAGGGACCGCTCCTTCCATATGCGTTTGGTGACAAGAGCGAAGTGTTGATGGCGGTTGGAGTACACATGGAGGATATCGATGACACAAGCAGTGATAGTTGTGGGGTTTCATTAAATCCTACAGCTGGTGGAAACGAACAAAAACGGCAACAAGAAGAGGGTGTACCATTTTCATCTTCAGAGAATATATCTGTGGCACAATTTCATTACCAGGCACTTCTTTTAGACCACGATATACCAGAACACTGGAAAGGTTTATTGCCAGAGGACCTTCTTGATGTCTACTTTGCTACATTAAACTACACAGAATCAAAGAAGTCTTTGGATGACAAGTTGTTGTCTCAGTATGTCCCATATGACGTAGAACGGGTTCCGTCTCTTGGGTCTGTGGAACAGCGTAAGTGGGAAAACTCGTTTGGCATAAAACCAGGATGGCGTTGGGATGGTGTTATTCGGGGTGTTAACACTTTGTGATACTGGGAGTGCTTTTTTTTTTTCTGTTTCATTCTTTGTTCGTTTGTTTCTCTCACAATCAATATGAATTTGGTACCCCTAATTTTTTTTTTCTTCAACTGCTATGTCTCCATGATTTATCTCTTGATTTTGGCACTATGCGGATATTCTACTATATGAATATGTGTAATGTATATATATATATATATATATATATATGGGTACAGTATGATTAATAAACAAACAAAAAAAAAATACAAATAAAGGCAATAATGATAATATGTTGTGTTTTTTTTTTTTCTCGTTTTATATCTCTTGGAGTTGAATCTTAGTATAGAGCGGTAAGGGATACCGCTGATTATGAGTTCTCCTATTTTTACCCGTGAGAATGAACGTCGTATGCAAGAGCTTCAGGGTCGGAGGGAACAGGGCGCTCAGCTAACCGATGATGAGTGTGACGAGCTTGCTTTACTCAAGAAGGATTATCATTGCTTTATCGAAGAAGGTGAACGGCGATTACTGCTTTTACGTAACGAAGAAGATGCGATGAAGCATTCACACTCCATTGACGCAAATGAAATGATGGACACCGTACAACAAGGAGTGAAGTCTGCAGGTAAGGCGGTATATTTTTGGGGATCACTTGTTGCTACTGCGTTGCCTGGTTACTTTGGACGCAAAGTAGGCCTTACTAGTGGTTTTTTGCACTGGAACTTTATAACCGATCATCTTATCTTGGGTGCTCTTCCTGTTGTCACGCAAGTTGGAGATAGCGGAAACCACTTGGTACGTATACGAGAGCAGTTAGAGTCTCGCAATAAACAACTTGGACTTGTTATTGCTTGCCTTGAAGAAGCCGAGATTCAAGGATTTGGTATTCATATGCTTAGTTTTGCTGATGAGTCAAGTTGGCATCAGTATTTTTCTTCAGAAATACAATACATTAGTTTACCAATACCTGATACTACTGCAGTTATTTCATTCAATGATGTTGCAAAAGCTGTGGAGCAAATACACGAATGTATCTCTGGACGAGAACGTGCTGTCTACGTTCATTGTAAAGCAGGAAAGGGTCGCAGTTGGATGATTGTTATGTGCTACCTAACATCCTATGGAGGGATGGATTTCAATGAAGCAGAGATGCGGATTCGTAGCATACGTTCACATATCAATCCATCTCCATCACAGCGAGCGTTTGTCCTTCAGTTCCTTTCTCGTATGAAAGAATGCAAAGGAACATCATGAGTCATTAGGAAGAGTGATAGGATTCCTTTAAATTCTTCCGTACTGTTCTCTTTTGCATTCTATGCCAAATTCTGTAAATGACATGGGACATATTGCATGGTCTTTATATATATTCTTATTTCTTGTTGCTGTTGCTGCCGGAAAAACAGAAAAGTGAACCAAGGAAAAGAAGGAAAAAAAAAAAAGTTACACGATATAAAGAAAAAGTAGAGCAAGTAAAAAATAATTTTCAATTTGCGTTTTTAGTCTGAGTGTAGTGACATTCCCTGTAGTTTTTTATCCCCCTTCTTCTTTGATGTGATGAGAATGATTAACAAGGGATATACACATGCGGTTGTACGCGTATTGTGTTTCAGTTTGGTGATAAGGGAGGAACAATTCTCAATATGACCCTTGACATCTGATTCTTTCTTATATATATATATATTTTTTTTTTTTTTTTTTTCTTTTTATTCTTCTTCCTTATTAGTTACTCCTAAGTAGTGTAGATGAGTCTCTCTCTTGGGGAAACAAGCGATGCGATTGCCTCTCTTGCACCAGGTTGCAGTGTGGAACAACTTGCGGATCTTGCACTACAGTGTGAGTCCCATCTTGCAAACGTTGAAGCAATTATGGACGCAGTAGAAAATGCGGTTCGCACATCTGAAGGACCACAACGCCTTGTGCTTTGGTTTTTTATTGATCGATTGGCGAAACAACACGCAATTTTCTTGGATGCTCTTCGTCCACGATTACGTGGTCTCGCTGCTGCTGCGGCCCCTGGAGTTGGAACAGCAGAGTGGGATGATTTTAAGAATCTTCTTAAGTCTTCTATTGCGGTGGTATTTGGTGCCCCGCTAGTGTCTCTTATTCTCCTGGAGATTGATCCAGAGGCGCAGACAGAAACTGCCCGCAACGCTTCTCAGGCTGAACGGAGTCAAAAGGCTCTTACACTACACAGTAACGCTCTTCGTACCGCTGGTGCATTTACAACAAAAGCTATCATGACAGAACGACCTGCATCAGCAAAGCATACTCTTCAAGTTAAAACAATCGATAGTCAAATGTCAATGAATGTAGCGAGTAGCTATGTTCCTGCTCGACCGCAGGAGATTATTGTCACAGATATTCACCCTGATGTTGACGCACCGCATGGTTACATGAAAGCAATTCCTGCTGATTATTTAAAAAATTATGAGAATACGCGTCGTAAGCGTCTACGTGAAGTAATGGAGCGAAACCGTCAAGAGATGGATCGCCGACAAGAAGATGAACTTCTTAATCGGGTACGAGGAACAGCAACTCAACACGGTAAAATACCAGATTTTTCAGATGTGGTAATGCCACTGGAACTTCCACGTGATGAATATGGCGTAAAACGAGGATTTTTCCCACTTGGTGTACGGTTTATTCGAGAAGCCATTCGAAGTTGTGGTGGAGCAGTGGAACTTGATGTTTTGGTGAATCGTCTTTCAACATTGGCAAGCAAAGAGGCGGTGGCAGAATTTGGTGATGTACGTGAGTTTCTTCTTATACATCGTCCTACTTTCCGCATTACAAACGAAAAGGATCGCTGGATTGTGCGTCTTGCTACAGATGATAGCTCTGATCCCACATGGGAATCCATGCAATGTCCACTTTGTTCTAAAGTATTGCGTGGGCGAAATCTTGCACGTCATGTGGGATGTAGACAGTGTGTCACGACTCAAATTGCTATTGGACTCCATGGTGAAGTGCGGGGTCCAATTTCTGAACTTGCCTTTGTCGCAAAATCTATTATTGACAGAGCTAAGACGTTTAATGATTGGGATTTGGAATGGTTTGCCGATTGTATTCAACGTGCCGCTGAATGTAAACGTTTTAAATTGTCTTCACAAGCAAAGTTTGCCCCTATATTGAAGGCGATGCGTATTGTTCGCAACCGCTGGTTGGCACGTAAAGGTGTCTCTGAAGTTAGCGATGCTGTTGTGGATGCTAGTGATGCTGCCGTGGCGCTACTTTTTCGAACGATTGGACGTAATGTGAATCGTCTGCCAATTCCATGGATTGACATGGGAGATGTGGTGGACATGTGTCGCCGCTTCTCTGATACGGTGCTGCCGCCTTTTAATCCACCGCCCCGCCCTGCGGACCCGCGCATTAGTTTATATAACGAATATCCGGGGTTTCTGCTGTGTGAGAGTGAAGTAGATGATGAGGATGATGCAAGTGGGGACGAGGATGCGTTTTCCGACGATGAGGCCCCCACGTTTGTTTTTGCACCACCGGTTGAATTGGCCGAGACTCTTTTCACAGCCGGTTTTGAGCGAGATACAAAACGGCTGCAACACCGAATGCGAACTGCCCCTCCGTTGGTGCTTCAGAGGGTTCTAAAGGGTGATCGTACACAGACACAGCGCGAAATGTACGCTGATGCAAAAAACACAGGTGTACCCGTTTTACCATCCTAAGAGAGCATTTGTGCATAAGAATTTTTGTAGAGCACACTGGAAAGGGAAAGAAAAGGAAAGAAGAGAAAAAAAAAAAGAAAAGAAAAAAAAAAGCAAGAGAAAAAAAAGAGAGAAAATTCCAAGTGTAGTTCGTCTTGTTGATTGTTTATCCTCTTCTTCCCTTCGGCTTTCGCTGTTTTAGCTGTGGTCAACTGGACTTTTTTTCGTTGCCGCAATTATGTCTTTATGGATCTTTGGTCTGTTTCTTTTTTTTTTTTTTTCTTTCTCTCTCTTTGTGTGTTTGTTAATTTTTTTTTTTTTCTATTCTCATTCTACACTTCGTCTTTCCCTATATAAATATAGAGGCTTCTGGAAGATCATATTAGGAGTAGTGAAAATGGATGGAAATGATATTAAAGAAATATTAGCCGGGTCACTTGGCGGTGCGGTGGCCACTGTAGTGGAATATCCATTTGACACTATAAAGGTCAGACTGCAAGATGATCCTAGTCGCTATCGAGGTAGCTTTAGTTGCGTTTGTGATATAACTCGTAATGAAGGATTAATAAATGGTTTTTTTAAAGGACTTCCTGCACCTCTTATGGGTGCTGCTGTGGAGAATGCTATATTATTCTGTACATACCGTACAGCTATTAGTTGTATTCAAAGTTTATTTTGCAGTAAACGTTTTGAACCAGATACAGAGCCGTATGTGGTGGTTTTTGGTGCTGCAGCTGTTGGTGGTATTGTCGTATCACATGCACTTACTCCTGCAGAGCTAGTTAAATGTAAAATGCAGGTTCAAAATACTCTCCCAGAGGAACGACGAGCATTTAAAAATTCCTTACATTGTGCATTGTCCATCTATCGAAAATTAGGGATACATGGACTTTACAAAGGACATGTGTCTATGTTGGCGCGAGAAGCTATCGGTTGTGGTTTGTACTTTGTGACGTTTGAATGGGTGATTCGCACCATGTTGCAAGAAGGTCAGAGTTTTAGTGAGGCCTCACCGCTTGTTCACTTTCTTGGGGGTGGATGTGCGGGTGTGGCGTTCTGGACATCCATTTACCCAATCGATGCGCTAAAGACAAAAGTGCAAACCGGAAAGGGAGGATATGGTGAAATGTCATTATTGCGCGGGATGGCGCATCTATATAAGCGGGAGGGATTGCGTGGATGTATGCGGGGCTACACAGTAACAGCTATTCGTGCATTCCCTGGGAATGCTGTTTTAATCGCTGTGTACGAAAAAGTGAACCTTCTATGGGAAACATCACAACGCTCACGCTTTGCCTCTGTTCGTTCAGCGTCATGTGTTGGTAGTACCTAGTGTGTCACATTCCATGTGGATGAGACATTGGTTTTGCTTTTCTTATAGTTTTATAAATATATCTATTTAAATTTGTCTTTTATATATTTTCACCGGTACAAAAGTACAATGAAAAATCCGCAGTAAAACAGGATAGAAAAAAAAAAAAAACAGAATAGAAAAAGAAATATATATATATGTGTGTGTAATAGGCACCGAAGTTAAGGTCCCTTTCTCTTAGTGCAAGGGGGGAAAAGGAAAAGAAAAAATAATGAACCTTTCCTAATAACAAACGATTAATTAGTTGTTACGCCTCTAAGAAAGTGAATGAGATATTATATATATATATATATATATAATTCTTGGAGTGTTTTCTGAGGTGCTTTGGCCTCTGCGTGGTTTAGATCTTACACGGTATGTTACTCCCTTTTTGCTACCATTGCCAACACTTTCGAAGTAAACATAATAATGCTCCGTATCTTCTTCTACTCATTATTATTTTTATTATTACTACTGTATTAATAATAATAATAATAATAATAATAATAATAATAATAATAATAATAATAATATTGTTGTTGTTGTTGTTTTTTTCCTCTACCTTGTTTTTTTCTTTTTTTGCTATTATTCTTATTGCCAATAGTGTATAATATAAAATGGGTGTACAAAAAACTTTTGAATTGACAGCCAAAGAACTTGGTCAGGGAGAACCGTTGTTTTCTTGGGACACGAGTAGTTCACACCTTGCAGTCTATGGTCCAAATGGGAAGTTACGGATACTTTCGTCTAATGGGAAAACATTAAACACTTTCTCCCTTCCTGGAGTTGTAAAGCTTGCTTGGGATAATACTCAAAGTATCCTTGCGATTGTTCAAGATAATACAACCAATGTCAGCTTATTCTCAGTCGGAAAAAGAGAGTTAGAAACGGTTGATTCTGGTCTGCAAGGATTATGTTTTCTGGCATGGTCTCATACTGGATCGCAGCTTGCTGTGGGTAGTACTAATGGAGCTTTTCTTGTTATGAACAGTGAAAAGTTTAAAAAAGCTCCTATTGTTGGAACACACACCAGAAAGATTATTGATGGAAAATGGACTACAAGTAACCTTCTTGTTATGATTGGTGAGGATAATATTCTTTCTGTATCAGATGCGGAAGGAGTGCTTCGTCAACATGTTACCGTAAAGGGTAAACCATTGTCACTTGTTTTGGTTGAATCAGTTCCTCGTGATATAACACAACAAACAAACAATACTTTTGCATTGGTTAATTATGGGAATACACTTGAACGTTACAATATTGGGACACTAGAATCACATGTTGTGCCATTTGAATCCAAGCTTGGAAATATAACGGTATGCAAATGTTTTTCAGATGGATTAATGTGTGTAGGTTTTATGTCTGGAGCCATTGCCCTTGCATCTGTCTCTGATACTGGTGTAAAGGTGTATGCGTTATCACGTCCTTTTAAAGAAGATGTTAGAGATTTGGCCTGTAGTGTGGGTTCAGGAGTATGTGCTGCTGTTGGTGATAACCTTCTAAAGTTCTTTACCTTTGCCGATAAACGAGTTACGGAAATAAAATCAGATGCAGTGGAATTGGAAGGTGCGTTTGGAAATATGCGGGGGGTGCAGTGGAGCAAAGATGGGTCAAACGTCACTGTTACAACAAATCGAGGTCAATTGTCAAGTTATAAATTAAATATGTCTGCTGTAAGTTGTACTCAAGGTGCTTATATATATTTTTTGACATCTACACGAACGATTTCATCAAAAAATTTACAGGATGGACGTATAGTATATACAGTTTCAGTTGATATTGATCCTACTATGATTGCTGCTACACGAAGTATTTTGGCAGTTTGTGCAAAAAACAAAGTTATCTATTACTCTATTGAGGGAAATAACGCTACTGTTATTGATACTGTTGATTATCCTTCTACTGTTTCAGCACTGGCGGTGTCTTCTAAACATGCTGCAGCGTTGTATGATGAGAAGGTTCAACTTCATGAAATACGTGGTGGTGGTGGTAATTCTGTTACACTTCCTGAAAATAGAAGTGCGAATGTTATTTCTATAGGTATGAGTGAGAATCTTCTTATATATGCTACTCCAGAAAAAGTATGTGTTATAAACCTTGCAGATTATCAATGTGTTGTAGAACATGCACCATCAACAGGAATTAAAAAAATGGTACCTAATCCTAGTTGTTCCCGTATTGCTTTAATAGGTAAAAATGATACCTTGTATATATTTAATCCTGTAACACTTGTTTTTACCCAAACTGAGGGTTTTGAAGTAGAACACAAAAATATTATGTGGGATCAAGGTGATTATGGTGCTTTGGTATCATTTGATAATAGAACCATTGTTACTTATGTCTATTCACCCCATAGTCGTTATGGACCAACGGCTGAATCGGTTGTTATAAAAGATACCAATACAGACAATCTCTTTACCCCTATTCCTACAGGTTATACACCTGTATCCCTCTTTAAGGGTATTATGACATTTCAAACATCAAGTGGCTCGCTTGACACTGTTACTCTTAAATCACACAATCAAGCTATGGCTCGTAACCCCAATCCTGAAGCTTTTTATAATAATTTTTCGCTAAATCATTTGCGATGGGCTTCACAAAATATATCAACCCCACAAGAAGCAGAAGATTTAGCGGTAAAAGCCTTACATATGCTAGATATTGAACTTGCAATTAGACTTTATCGTCAACTTTCACAGCCAAGTCTTGTAATGTGTCTAGAGAATATTAAACATATTAATGAGAAGAATCTCCTTATTGGTCATGTATCTATGATTATGGGTTTTTTTAAGGATGCTCAAAGTTTCTTTTTACGTTCCTCGCAACCACTTTGCGCATTACAAATGCGTCATGATTTAATGCAATGGGAACCTGCTCTTGCTCTTGCAAAACAAATGGCTCCTGAAAAAGTACCTCTTCTTTCAAAAGAGTACGCTCAACAACTGGAGTATTTGGGTGAATATGCAAAAGCGTTAGAAATGTTTAAAGCAGGTGAACGCACTATGCCAACAGGTCACGCCAGTACTGAACTTTCAGCAGCTCAAGAAGATGTTAAGCGTCATAATGCTATTTGTTCTCAAGGAGCAGCACGTTGTTTACTTCGAACTGGAAGTATTAGAGAAGGTGTAAAATTAGCCTTAGATTCTAATGATAAAACTTTTATGAGAGAATGTGCTGAAATATTGGAATCTATTCGACAATATGAAGAAGCCGCTCATCTTTATGAAAAGGCATTAGATTTTGAACGTGCTGCTACTTTATATATTGTAGAAGCAAAGAACCTAAAGGCAGCAAATCGTGTTATTCCTAAAATTACATCTCGTAATATTATTGGAATGTTTGCCAAGGCTAAAGAAAATGAAGGGGCATTCAAAGAAGCTGAAAAAGCATATATGCAAGCAGAAGATTGGGATAATGTAGTACGTCTAAAAGTGGAAAAACTAAATGATTTACATGGTGCATATATGATTGTACGTCAAACAAGATCATCAGCTGCTGCAACTGTGGTGGCTAATATGTGCAAAAAACGAAATGAATTTAGTGCAGCTGTAGAATTTTTTGTTATGGCGAAGAGTTTTCCGGAGGCTTTTGAATTAGCGAAGGAAAAAAATTGTATGTCAACTCTTGAAAGTGCTTTATTAAACCAGGTTCAACTGACAGATGGTGTTGCACCTCCTTCTAACCAGCTTGAGTTTGCAATGATTGCTCAATACTATGAACAAAACAATAAACCAGGTCAGGCTGGATTGTTTTATCACATTGCAGGTAATTTCCCATTGGCATTAAAAAATTATTTGGAAGCTGGTGAACCAGAAGATATTGAAAAAGCTATTCAAGTTGTTGGTAAATCACGAAGTGATGCACTTACGAATAAGCTTATAGATTATCTTATGGGTGAAAGTGATGGAGAACCTAAAGAACCTTCCTATATCTTTAAACTTTATATGGCCTTGGGAAGTTATGAGAAGGCGGCAAAAACGTCAGTACTTATAGCTACTAAAGAACAAGAAATGGGTAGCTACCTTGTTGCACACAAGACACTTGTGGAAGCATGTCGTATATTAAGAGAAAAGAAAATGCGTGTACCGAATGATTTACGTCGTTCTCTTATGTTACTTCATTCTTACATTATTGTGAAACACCTTATTAAACCAATGGGAGATGATGAGACAGCTTCTCGTATGCTTCTTCGAGTAGTAAGAAATATTCAGAAATTTCCACGTCATATTCCGGCAATTTACACTTCGACTGCAATACAATGTTTGAAAAGTGGATTTAAAAAATCTGCCTTTGAAATCGCTTGTATTATTATTCAGAATGGTAAATATCGAACAGAGTTAGATGATAAAAATCGCAAAAAAATTGAGGGAATTGTTCGAAGAAGAGGTAAGGAAGAAATGGATGATCCTGTAGAAAAGAGCACACCATGTCCTTTTTGTGATTCTCAAGTTCCAGAAACAGAACTGGATTGTGGTGCCTGTAAAAACACTTTGCCTTTTTGTATTGTTACTGGTAAACACATGCTGAAGGATGATTATTCGGAGTGTCCCATTTGCCACTTTCCTGCGTTGTACTCTTCCTTCATGTCGTTACTCAGACATTCCCAAATTTGTCCTATGTGTGAGAGTGTTATTGATTTGAACAAAGTCCAAAAACAAAGTGATCCAGATTTGAAATCCTATATTGCATAGGTCATCGGAAAAGAAAAAGAAAAGAAAAAAAAAAAAAGAAAGAAGAACAGGAAGAATAAAGATGCAGGTAGAAAGGGGGAGGGGGAAAAGGAAAAAAAAAAAAAAAATGCATGTAGACATCAAATTAGATGATGTTTGATTATGTCAAATATCATTATTATCAGTTCACGTTGGTTCTGTTTTTTTTTTTTTTTTCCTTTTTGAACACAACGCATTTCTCTTCCCAATTGTTTGTTTCTGTACAAACGATGATGGCAATCCTTGTAAAAATTGAACAGAAAACAAAAATACAATAATTGTGTTTTTTTTTTTTTTGTTTGTTTTATCTCTTAGAAAAAAAAAAAATAAGTAACACAAAGCGCTGTCAAAAAAAATATATATATATATATATATATATTAATAACCACGTTATCCGGTATCTGTCTCTGTCTGAGTCTCTGCGATGGGGAAGAAATGGTTGCCGCTGGAAAGCAACCCAGAGGTCTTGAATAATTACCTCAAGGGTCTTGGAATAAAAGAACCCAAAGTGGCGTTTTACGACGTTTTCGGTCTTGATCCTGATCTTCTTGCTTTCGTGCCACGTCCGGTCTTTGCTATGATGCTTTTGTTCCCTGTTACAGATAAGATAGAAGAAGCTGAGAAAGAAGCTCTTCTTCGTCAGAAAGATGAAGTAAAGGAATTTATGGAAAAGAACAAGTTTTTTTTTTCCAGACAGACCATTGCGAATGCTTGTGGTACAATGGCTGTTATTCATGCTTTAATGAACAACATTGATCGTGTTGGTGATTTACAAGAGGGTAGTCCACTTTATGATTTGCGGAAAGTTGGGATGGATATGCTTCCAGAAGAGCGAGCTAAGTTTATTGAGAATTATCCTACACTAGATGAAGAACACCGAAAAGCTTGTGAAGAAGGAGTGCCAGAAAATCAATCGATTGATGCAGATACTGACCTTCATTTTACTTGCTTTGTAAAGATAAATAATCGTTGCGTGGAACTCGATGGACGTAACCCTGTTCCGCTTCTTCACGATGTCTGTTCAGACGATGAATCATTTTTAATTGCTGCTGCGCAAGCGATGAAAGATAGAATAAATCTTGAACCATCTTCGGTTCGGTACAATATTATTGCTCTTGCAAATAAGGGAGATTAACCCCCTTTTTTTTCTTGTTTTTCCTTACTGTTGTTTTTTTTTTTTTTTTTTTCTTAGGAGGAGGAGGAAGAGGTGGGGCGGTGCCGGTAGTGAGGTTTGTTAGAAGTTTTATATCCTATGCAGTAATATGAGGGTACGGAGTAGTGATTGATGTGAATATATTTTTTTCCTTGTTATACGTTTGGCTTGAGCTGGTATATTAATTATTTTTTTTTCTACCTTTTTTTTTTTTTTTTAGACAAGAGGGCATGAGACGGTTTTATAGATTAGGCTGCAGACAACCATGGCGACTTCTCTCTGTCAACACTTTGGTACACTTCTCCAATACGTTTAATCAATCTGGTACGTTTACTGTTAATGAGGGAAAGTGTTCTCTTTCTACTACATCTATCGAGACGCCTGAAATGAAGGTAAATCCTTTTTTTTCTAATGTTGTTTCTGATCTTCAGTTGCTTCAGAAAAAATGGATGAGAGAGTTTCGTATTTGTATAACTAGTAGCTCTACTTTGATTATTGAGGCTTTAACAGCTGATGAAACACCTTCCTGGGCTCCAATTGCTACGTTAGATGCTGTTAGATGGCCGTGGGATCTTGTCAAAACCGTGGATGCTGCCTTAATTCCTACTAATACCACTAGTACTAATACTAATAGTAATACCACTAGTACGGCAGATGGTCATGGTATTACTATTCTGGACCTACACGATCGTGCTGAGGATGTTGCCGTTGCCCAACGAGTACTGACAGAACGGTATCCAAGACTGCGATTGCATATTGATCATTCTAAAGGTACGGACCTTCAAGGAACGGTAACACATTCTGTCTCCGTTTCATTACAGAGTCGTTCTCATGGTACAGATTTATCACCTGAGGAAACTGCTGTAAAAGAATCATTTCTGGGTGAATCAATAGGATTAGGTTTTTCTCAGACTGCACGACGTGCCCTTCGAGAAGCATTTCAATCAGCTGGTATGCCTTTACCACCACGACATATTGAACGTGATAAAGGAAAAAGCGAGATGGATATCTATCTAGATACTATTCGAAATGCATTAAATGAGGATATAACTGTTGTTTCGACTCTAATAAATGATGAACAAGTGAAAATTTCTGTCGAATCATGTGGGGGTCGTCAATTAAATGTATTAGATGGAAGGCGCGATGACGCCTTATCAATTGTCCTGGCCTGTGTGGAAAAGGCAGCAGAGAATGTTAATAGCATCGCGACAGAAGAAGCTCGTAAACGGATCGCAGATCATCCTGTAGTTTTGGCCCTTCCCCAAAAAGGACTTCGTCCCAAAGAAATATTACGTCGTTTGTTAATGCACACTTATGGTTTGCTGGAGGAACGAGTACACATTATTACCTCACAGGGTAATGACCTTACATTCACTACCACAATAGATACAGAACTCTCCTGGGGTGACCAGTCTGACAGCACAAAAACACCTGTTGTTATTACTATCGCCCGTGCTGCTGGAGTGAATAAAAAAGCAGCAGAAGAACTTGCATGTGTGATAGCAATTCAACGATGTTTTCCACGCATTTTTCAAGAACAGCTCTCGTATCATATGGATGTAAAAGAGATTTTACGATCTACAAAGGCTACTAGTAAAGAATCTATTTGTCCTCATATTTCCAAGGGGTTGTTAGCCCAATTGCGCTGGGCTGCTCGTTGTGAAAAAAAAGAAATCGTCTTTGATACCGTACAACTGCTTCCAAACTCTGAGAATGAAGAACTTGGAATACGTACTACAAGGGCTTTATGGGCGACACAACTATTTTTTGTGAATGAGAAAGGTAATCGTCAATTGATTTGTCTAGCATTAGATCCAAAAAAATCAATAAGTGAACAGAAGGCGGTTGCTGCTGCACTCTGGAAATGTTTTAAAAATCTATGTAATGAAGGGATACAGTATGCTATGGATCGTGGACTTATTAATAAGGATGGTGATGTAACTCCCTGTGAAGGTATTTCGACATCTGCTGAACCTATTCCTAGGAATGAATATGAAATTGCAGCAGAATGTGATCCTTTTATACCTAATTTGCAGCTGCTTCCATCTCAGCCAATTTCTGTTCCTTATCGTCAATCACTACTAAGTGTCTTTAGAAGAGGGGTTCAATTATATGTGGAGCTGATGAATGAAAGGTCCAGTTATAATAGTAACAGCAACCACATATGTGATAAGAGCATAAGCCCCTGGAGATTGGTTGAACATACAGAAAAAGTTCAATCGAATGGTCATTTTAAGGCACAATTATTAATTAGAACTACTACTGCTACTCCTACTACCACTACCACTAATAATAATAATAATAATAATAATAATAATAATAATAATAATAATAATAGTGATAATGATGGTATTGGTGATCAATTGAGTGGAGATATGTTGCTCGGGGAAGTGTTTTATTCAACCACAGCTATTACTGCTATATTTAACGCTTTTAAAAGTTTATTTGATGAAGGGGGTTTAATTGCAAGATCTGCGAAGGAGGACGTTCAGGTAAACGATATCTTTAGTGACACACTTCAGCGTGTGAATTTATTTCCATCCTTTCCAAGAGAACTACCTGCTCCCACACCACTGGAGACTGTTGCTCAATGTGTAATGATAAAATATGGTTTGGCCACAGAGCTACATATTACAGGGGGGGGTAAAATTGTCAACGTACAGCTTTTTGGTCGCAGCCCTAGCTCACTGAATTGTGATGATTCTAAAGATCAAAGTCGTTTTTTTCTGGGACATGGTCGAGGAAGTTCTTTACTAAAGTCTGTTGTTTCTTGCTGTAGACATACCTTTAATACACATATGCCTCAAGATGGTGATATTCCTGATGCTTCAACTGTGGAGTCTATTAAGTCTGGTTCGGTACAGGTGACGCCGCGTGCGGGATGCCTTCTTGCTTCACAAGTGGAAGCTGTGAAGAATGAACTCCTGGAAAATAAGGCTATCTCAGCTTCAGCCTCCATCTTTGTCGGAGTCGACATCCGACCTTCAAGTTCCAACATCTTATATGAAGCCAAGTTGTATGTGGTGGATGAAATGCGAGTAGTTGAACTGGAGCGTACTTCCCCAAACTCTGATCTTATTACATCCCTCTGGAACTTAACATCCAGTGTTGTACGAGAGATGGGTGGGAACACTCTCGACGTGGAGAACGTACAGAGAAAGTATAGCGGGCCCCACCACCACATTACATTACAGCGACTTCTTGAAGATATCTACGGTCTTACTCTTGTAGAAGAAACACTGCTAAAAGACCAACATTGGCATTCTCACCTTAGTGTTCGCATTTCTGATGATCTTTACTACACAATTGGCTATTCTGTGGGTACAAAAAAGAAGGAAGCTCTTGAGATGTCGGCGATAAAAGCGTTGAATCGCTGCTTTGGTACGGTGTCAAAATCAACGACACCGCATACAGGTGTATCAGTGTCAACAATCACAACAACAATGGCAACTTCTGAAGAGGAGCAGAAGTACTGCGGTTTTATTTACAGAAAATTGGGTGAAAAGGAAGAGTTTTGCATATAATTGTAGCTCTTCATTTTTTTTTTTTTTTTTTTTTGCTTTTTGCGTCTCTTTGCGAAGGTTTTTTTTTTTGCTTTTTTTTTTTTTCCTACCACCACATTGGTTCATGCAACAAAATTTATAAATGTGTCCTTTTCTTTTTCTGTTAAACAAATGTATTTTTTCTTTTTTTTTTATCTTTCTATTTGATTTTTTTTTAATTTCTTATGATGAGGAAGTATCTTAAGTTTTCTGAGGTGGTGTAATGCTACGGGCCTCTGCTGCCTCAATCAAACTAACAAACCTGTATGGGGCACCGTCAGGAGACACGTATCATGCGAGTGATCCATTTGCTAATTTAATAGAAATTGATGGTATTCGTATTTTACTGGATTGTGGATGGAATGATACATTTGACTCCCATTATCTTGACAAACTTTTACCCTATCTAGGTGACGTTCATGCTGTCTTGTTTTCCACATCAGAACTATCCTCATGCGGTGCACTTCCTTTTGTGCTGGAGCACATTCGACCTGGAACTTGCATTGCTGCTGCCGGTTCCACGTCAAAGATTGGACTTCATGGAGTTTTGCATCCATTTCTTTATCTCTTTCCCAATAGCCATACCTTTCAACTTGATTCTGGGATAGAATTTGAAATGACAGTAGATAAGATATACAGCACTTTTCGAAGTGTAACAGAACCATACGGAGGTAAAGTAACAATTCGTCATCGTGATGTTGAAGTTGAATGTTATCCTATTTTTACTGGAAGAATGCTAGGAGGACATGGATGGCTTATAAAATATCAAATTGATGAATTATTTTATTGTCCAGATTTTTCTTTAAAACCTTCATATGCGTTAAAGCGATTTGTGCCACCTACAACTGCAACACTTCTCTTTATTGATGGTTCTCCACTTCATTTGAGTGGGAATTCTGGTAAGAAGTATGAAGAACAATTAAATACCTTTATTCGAGAAGTTTTAAGTACATTAAGAAATGGAAAAAATGTTTTGATTCCAGTATCTGTTGCAGGTAGAGGTCTTGAAATACTTACCATTGTTATACGTCTACTTATGGAAAAGGGAGGAGATAACTATACTGTTGTCCTTGCGTCTATGCAGGCAGCAGAATTGTTGGGGAAGGCAAGTACCATGACAGAAGTTCTTCTGGATGAGGTTATATTAAGTGAACATCCATTATTTGCAAATGTTGTAACTTGTAAAACGGCACAAGAGGTTATGAATGTGACAGGTCCAAAAGTTTGTATAGCTGATGGAGAGACTCTTGATTATGGTATATCCGCAGAACTCCTTGAATATTTTTTGCAAACTGAACCTGATGAACGAGAAAATCTAATTGTTTTACCTACTACACCTAAACAACAAACAAATGCTTTTACAATTGCTACATCAAGTAAAGGTGATGTTATAAAATTACAGTATACGAAACGTTTACCATTGGGCAAGGAAGAACTGGAAGAATACTATATTCAGTTAGAATATGAATTAGAAGAACAGAAAAAAGCTATGGAAAGTGGTGCATATGAGGTTGCTGCAATTGAAGAAGATGAAAGTGAAAAGGATGAGGATGCAGGTGGAGAGGAAGAAAAGACTGTTGAAAAGGTACAACAGTGTACACCAGGTCTTGTACTTCCTTCTTACATTAGTTTTACTTCTAAACATCTTCAATTCCCTATATTGGAGACTACCATTGCACTTAACAGTGCATCATTGAAAAAGATGGATTATTCGTACGGAATTCCTGTAAGTGATGAACTTCAAACTCTTATGCGACGCAGGGCACCTGCCAGGGTTTACAGTGATGAAGGACCTGAAGGAATTCAGTTACACAATGATGTTCAGGCAGAAGCAAACATTCCCTCAAAAACAGTCTTAGTGACGACAAATATGCGTAAAAATGCTCGTGTTTTTATGACAGATCTTTCAGGCTTCGCAGACTCTTCAATTATGCGGAGTTTATTAAAATCTCGATTTAGCTTTCCTAAAAAAATAGTGGTAATACGAGGTACTATTGATGATCACAGAACATTAACTCAATTTTGTCGATCCGAAAAAGTAATGAAATGTGGCGAGAATGTTTTTCTTCCGAGGCCTTTGGGTAGCTATCTGGAGTTGGCTACTCACGTATATTCATACATGGTTCAACTTGATCCTATGTTGGCTAACACACTTCCATCTTCGCTAAAGCGAGTAAAGGAGTCACGATCAAATGGTTCATGGGATGTTGGGTGGGTGGATGGTGTTCTGACAAGTTCCATTGTTTCAAGTGACCTTGAAACAGAGGAAGGTCAACCAATAAAACGACTTAAGATAGATAGTGGTGATACCCAAGATACTGTATTTACCCTTATGGGTCTTTCAAGTGAAACGGCACAGTTGTGTGCTCAGGAACGAGAGTCACGAGGTCTTCAACGTGGTTTGTTTTACGTTGGTGAGATAGACTTGCATAGACTTCGTGACACCGCACGAAATGAAAAAGGTCTTCGGGGAGAATTTCATAAAAGTGCACCTATGCTTGTTTTTGACGTTGGCGTATGTGTTCGAAAGAGCGCCAATGGGAACGTCTCGCTCTCCTCAATGGTTTCACCCTCTGTTTTTGCTCTCAGAAAGACTGTTTACAATCAGTTTTCTCAGATTCTCTAGAGAGGGGATATATATTTGTTGATGGAGAAAAGGGAAATTTGTTCTTGGTGTGTTTGTTGTTGTTGTTGATTTTCTTCTTTTTTTAATGAGTATCTCTTATTATCTCTTTCTGTGTGTATGTGAACTTCACTTTGGTATTAAAATAAATAGGTCTTATATATATATGTATATTTCTTCCGGAGGTGTATGTGGTTTTGTGTCCCATGCTTTCCGATGTTGTTCGTTTTTTTTTTTTTTTTATGTTTATTTATTTATCCTTCATTTTATTTTTTTTTTCATTAGTGCACTACGACATTTATGTCAGAAGCTGAGGTTCTTCTTCTTAGTCTTGAGGTTGAGGCAGCTGCAGTACGTAATGCTGATCTCTCTAGACAACTCGAACGTCTAACCGATGAATTGGCGTGCTCTACAGTACATCGTCTGGAGAAAGTAGAGACTGTATCTGTAGGAACTCAGACCGAGTTTGACGTGCTGCGTGATGTGTCTTTGGATCTAGATGATCTACTGTTTGAGATGGCAGAAGTAATGTTTCGTCTGTACCCTACAACACCGATTGATTTATCATCCCGGGAGGGTGACAAGTGTAAGCGCCTGGAGGAACTCTCGCAACGTTGTTTACGCGAGATGCGCTCACTTAGAACAGCATGGGAAACTAAGCTTGAGGGATACAATAAATTTATAGAGGATCTTCAGAAAGCGCTAGGTGGGTACTACCGATCCCTAGAAGGATTGCAGTGTCAGTTGCGTGACAAGGAAGTTGAGTGTGCAACACTTTCGAAAGAGAATGCCCAACTATTGCGACAATGTGCGGAGCTTGAAAAACAGTTAAAGTTTGTACAGAAGGATGCAGCTAATGCCAATAACAAAGTAGAACACTTGATGCAACAGACTACAGATCTTGAGTTCGAAAGGTGTCGACTTTTAGATAGAGAGACTGTTCTAGCAAATACATTGGATTCATTAAGAGCAGATTGTGCCCTTGGGCCATGGGGGGATAGGACCGTCTTTAAAAGTAAGGCTCTTGAAAAGGGAAGGGGTAACTCTCATATTCCTCATAGGGAGAAAGAAACACCCACATCCGGCACTGACAGAGGAGTTTCAGGAGGTTTTTCTGTTCAGGATGTAATGTGGGCCTGTCAAGGTTCTACTGTCAATCGAGCCTTTCCTGAGTTTTGTCTCCCTCCCGAAAAAGTTATTGATTTTGGTTGCAAGTTTAATCCCTCAACATGAACAGTGATTGCGCGTTAGTGTAAACTGGAAAAAGTGACATCCCGACAAACGTTGATGATCTTGTTTATTATTATTATTATTATTATTATTATTATTATTATTATTATTATTATTATTATTAGTAATAATAATAATGATAATGAGTCAAGTGAATTCTTTTTTTTTTCTTTTAATTTATATCATAAATGGTTTGTCTTTATTTTATTAATTTCTCTTCCTTGTCCGTTTTAATTATTCTTGTAGCCTTTCCATCTCATTAGTTCCCTACATGGAAGGTGATGTTGATTCTCAGCTGCAGTGGAATACACTATTGGCTGACGGTGATGCTGCTGCACTTATTGCTGTATTTCGAGAGGCTGTGGAGGCTGTAGATACACTAGAGAGTCGCAGTTTAAAGTATTCTATATCAAAATTTTTGGAATCTTGTTTATTCACATCCGCTTTAGATGTTGATTTACCAAAACTATGCTCCACTTCCTCAGCGGAGTATATAGAAAATGTTTTACAGGAAACGAGCGTTCGCCCACTCGACCCGCGTGAAGTTCTTTCTGAGTTGCTTTCTATTGTAAAGTTTGGCAGTGGAAAAGTTATCACTGTTTATTTTAGACTTCTTCGTGCAGCTCTACGACAGATTTTATTAGATACGATACGTCGTCGAAAAAATAATGGTACTGTTGAGGAACAATTGTTAAAGACGCAGATGACTATGCGTGCTTGGTATGTGAGTGTGAGTGCTCATATCTCAGATATTATTTGTACTCTTTCTCAACGAGATGCACTCCCACAGACGGTAAAAAAGGTAAATAAGATTCAGGAATGTGACTCTAGTAGTGAAGATAATGATGATGAATATAATGATTTAAATTTTTCTGTACCATCTATTAACGCTGATACGCTCGAGGCGTTGCTTGATCTTTTACTAGACCTTATGACTATGACGAGAGATACGAAAAGAACAACTCAGCTACTTTTAATGGTAAAGGCAGTAACCATTTCGGCTCAGCCTTATCACAAGAATAATAATGATGATGATGATAACGATAACAATCAGTTAACACAAAATGTATTGATTCTTCTCTCTCAATGGTCAAGATCTTTCTATCATGTGAATAATCCTCAAACGAAAGAGTCAGTGTCTTCTTCTATCCTAGAATGTTCATCTCCTGGGGTATCACAAAATGATTTTATGAAAATAGGAGAATCTGTAACAGAGGCACTGTTACGCATTCTTCCTCGGGGAGAAATTTTCTCTCTTCTTCTGGATACTTTAGAGAATGAATTTCGTAGGGAAACGATGGATATTATTACATATAATGACAATGAACGTGGTAAGAGTGTTAGTGACACCAAGGTACTAGCCTCGTTGCATGACTTCAAAGACGAGAAAGAAATAATTCAAGTTCTCTCTGATAGTGATTCGAATTTTGATCATGATGATATTATCTCAGATTATCTGTCTTTGCGAAAAGTTGGTGCTATGATGATATTTCTCGATTTAATCATAGGTGAAAACTCTTCCTCTTGCTCATTGTTTTCTAACTCTCCAACGACTCTCTTCTTTATCTCTGGTCCTTTATGCCTGGAGAGTCTAAAGAGTTCTTCACTATGCACTGTTATGTCTGGATTAACTTTTTTGTTTGTCTTACTTTCTCATATTGATGCGTATAGTATATTTGCTAATGGTGAAGTAAACATGGAATCTTCGAAAATATGTGATTTAATTGAAAAGAGTACAACATTTCCTTCCTTTAATTTTCGTACCAGAAAGTTTGAACTTATTTTTGAATTGGTTAAAATGCTGATAAGTATTGCAACAACATGCCCCAGCAAAAAACATCGTTGGATATCTCGTAATATTTTTACTATTATGATTCAACGATGTGCTGCTAATTTACGTATGTTGTTATATTCTTCGTTTCTCGTTGTTACACCATTTGCGTCTATTTGCTCGTTAATGTTGCATTCTTTGCGTGATGAGTGGTCCAGTAGTCAATCTTTGCGTAATCAGTCAGAATATCTCTTCCTCAGAGACATGCTTCCTCGCTGTCTCATTCAAGCACAGGAAAACTGGGTAAAGAAGTTGCAATTTGGTGAAAAATCCTTTATAGATCCATTGATTCAATCACTTAATTTTGTGCGTTCTATCATTGCTGAGGATTGTCGAAAAGGTAGTAGGAGCACTTTGTTTCAATTTGACACCAGTGGAAGTAAAGTCCTTATTCGCAAAACCACTGGAGAGGGCACTAAAAGCGGCAACTGCTGGGACGAGTACCTCCGTCAATTACTAGACATTGTTGTTGCACCTCTCCGTACTGCTTTGGCGGGCGCAGCTGACGGAGGGGCAGTCTCAATGACTACATGTTGCATGGCGGAACTCTCCCCCCTTGATGTGTTTGCACTCAATATGGCATTGGATGGATTGGAGAATCAGGTGACGTGTACAGTGTGAAAAATGTGGTATACAGGTTTTTATTTATTTGTAAATTTAATTGAATGCAAAATAAGAAAAAAAAGAATTGGGGTATGGTAAGAATATATATATATTTCTTATGATCGTCTGTTTGCTAGATCTATATTGTTTATCTGTTTTATTCTCTTGGTTGTCTTTTTTTTTCTCTCATTTTTATTTTTATTGTGTTTAGTTCCGTTTTTCCCTACACCACAAGACTGTGTGTGTGCGAATGATTCACTCAGAAATTGTGGGTGAGGAGGAGGATGAGCTAACATCTGTTGCAACGTGTTCCCGAATCACTCCAGTGGAAGAGAGGAGGAGTAGCGTCTATTTGACGAAATATGAAGTGGCACGCATTGTTGGCGAGAGGGCACGTCAAATTGTGAACGGTACCTCAATGTTTTTGCACAATCGAAGTAATGCAGGTGAACGAAGTGCGTTGGAGTTGGCGGAGCGTTGTACTGATCCACATTCTTCCTTGGTAGACCCTGTTTTTATTGCGAAAAATGATCTCTTGCAGGGAAGAATACCCATGATAGTTCGAAGGACTTGGCCGGATGGAAGATCAGAATATATCCCAGTTTCTGAGCTCCTTGTTGATAAAGCTATGCTAGATCTACAAAAATAAAAGTGTGACACATACGCTTAAGAAGAATAAGGTTATATTCGCATTCAGATACCTTGAGACATTTAACAAGGGTTATATGTATATATATATATATATATATATATATATATATATATTTTCTTCTTTTTTGCGTGGATGAGTAATGGGGTTATTTCTCTTGTCTCTTTTCTAATAATGATATCTGTTCTTTTTTTTCCCTTCGTAATCTCTGTTTCTTCTCTTACTTCCACAAACAAACAAATATCCGTGCGTGGGCCTGTTTTCAATCTACTAAGGTAATCAGAATAGGGTGATGCGTCGTGGTTTCCGAAAGGTGGCATGGGCCAACTATTGTGTTGCACTTTTCCCGTTGATGCGGTGCCTTCAGACCCGGAGTGAATTGCGCAACATTGCAGTTATTGCACACGTTGATCATGGCAAAACAACACTAGTTGATAGTCTGCTAAAGCAATCCGGTACTGTGGTGGAAGCCCGCAATCGTCTTATGGACAGCAAGGATCAAGAAAAGGAACGGGGTATTACTATTCTTGCTAAGAATACTGCTATCCTTCTTCCTTCAAAATCTGGTGAGGCACAGCGACGGGTTAATATTGTAGACACTCCAGGTCACTTGGATTTTTCGGGAGAGGTTGAACGTGCACTTCAAATGGTAGAAGGCATTCTTCTTCTTGTTGATGCCAAGGAAGGTGTACGCCCTGGTACACGCTACGTTCTTCGAAAAGCTCTTGGTCTCAACCTTAAGGCAATTGTCTGTCTTAATAAGATTGACAAGGATGATACCAATATAAAAAAAACTGAGGATGCTATTCAAGATCTTTTCTTGGAAACTGCAGATAATGATGCTCAGTTAGACATATCTTTTATGTATGGATCTGGTCGTGACGGATATATGAATGAAACACCAAAGAAGGATGGAACTCTTGACCCTCTTTTTGACAAGATCTTTAGTACTATTCCTGCCCCACAGTCAGAAGAAGGAGGGAAATTGCAAATGCTTGTGGCTCAAGTTGATGTAAATGAGACTACAGGACATAAAATTGCCATTGGTCGTATATTCAAGGGATCTGTTTCAGTTGGTGACGTTGTTACAGTCGCTTTGGAAGATAAACAAGTAGATGCTCTTGTAAAGGATATTCAACTTTTTGTTGGAGTTGAAAAAAGCAGTGTTCAAACTGCATCTTTTGGTGATATATGCATCATGACTCTTCAAGAACCCATTGGAGAAAAGGTACCTATTAAAATTGGATGTACTGTTTGTCATCAGGGAGTGGTAGATAAATTTCCTTACCGAAGACCTGATGAACCTACGTACAGCCTTGTGCTACAAGCCAGTGAAGCCAGTTGGCGTAAAAAGGAAGCAAATGAAAATTTTGGAAATATTCATGCGTTGCAAAAACGATTGGAACGAGAAGCGATGGTTAATACGGCACTTCAACTTACTGGTATTGGAACACCGCATATCACTTTAATGGGACGTGGACCTCTTCATCTTTCTGTTATTATTGAGGATATGCGTCGTGAAGGGTATGAGTTTGAAATTCAAGCCCCTCGTGTGCTTACTAAAACTATAAATGGAGAAGTATGTGAACCATACGAACGAGTTAATCTTGAGTTTCGAGAAGAACTTGTATCTGACATGGTTTCTTTTCTGAGTAGCAAGATGGGAGAAATAGGTGAGATTACTCAGTTATCGAATGAACGTGTTCTGATGGACTGCGTTATACCCGTGCGCTTCATGTCCCACGTGCCGCTGCGCTTCCACACTCTCACGGGCGGCGACGGCGTTCTCCACCACAACTTCGAGGCGTACCGTCCAATGGCGTCGATCGACACCACACGCGAGACGGGCGCCCTCATCTCCGTTGAGAACGGCGAAGCCACCGACTGGTCCCTCGCCGGTCAGGCACATCAGGGCCGTTTCTTCGTTGTCCCGGGCGACATCGTTTACTATGGACAGATTGTAGGGGAAAACAGCAAGACATTATTTCAGAATCTCGGTATCAACGTATGTAAGCGAAATGAGCAGCTTGGCGGACTGCGATCAAATGCCAATGATAAATCGAACAGACGAAGATCGTCATACACAGCATTTCGTGCATCTTTTGAAGATTGCATCGCATGGGTGACAGACGACGAACTGGTTACTGTGACACCGAAGTCTATTCGCATGCGTCAACCGAACTTCAACGGCAAAACAACGATGCGCAACTCTAAGAAAAAATAGCGCTTTCATTGCAGTTTTACATTTTTTTTCTTGTTTACAGGAGACGTACACTGTTGATGAGATTTGATCACATGCTGTGTTTTCACATCTTTTTTTTTTTTATTTACAGGGGAATGAATAGGATATAATTAACATTTGGGGTTCAGTAATACTCACAGAGGAAAAAGAAAAAAAAAAAGAGGCACGAACCCATAGTTCGTGTAGTGTACTTATTACGAATATGTAATCCCATTTTATGAATCGAGATACATGGCAATATCTTCTCATTATAGTATATATATATATTTGTTTATTTATATGGTATTACAGGGATTCTCTTCTCTTTCTCTCTCTCTCTCTCTCTCTCTCTCCTTTTGTTATCATTACTATTCTCTTTTTTTCCTGTGTATGTGTCCTTCTTTTTTTATTATCTTTGAATAAACTTTGCTCATTAGGAGTTCTTTAAAGTAGACATAATGCTCTCACGTACCCTTCCAGTATTTTTTGCGACCAGCATACCAACAAGAATGAAAATTGTTGTTGGTGTAAAACGCGTCGTGGATTACACAGTGAAGGTACGTGTGAAGGATAATAAGATTCAGAGTGACGCTCTTAAAATGAGCGTGAATCCGTTTGATGAAATTGCCATTGAAGAGGCTATTCAAATGAAAGAAAAGAAACTTGCAAAAGAGGTGATTGCAGTAACCATAGGAAACAAAAAAGCGGAGGAAGTTCTTCGAACAGCAATGGCACTTGGCTGTGACAAGGCTATTCATATTGTTACCCCCGAGGAAGAGAGTGATGGTCTTGAGCCACTCGCTGTTGCAAAGATTTTTCAGAAGCTTCATGAAGAACTTAAACCAGATATATGGATACTAGGTAAGCAGGCAGTGGATGGAGATCTTGGAGTTACAACTCAGCTGCTTGCTGGTTTACTTGACATTCCACAGGGGACCTTCGCATCTAAAATTGAAGTTAACAATGGAAAGGCGAAAGTAAGTCGTGAAATTGACGCTGGACATCAAATCGTTGAACTGCAAACACCCTGCGTTATTGCTGCGGATCTTCGACTCAATACTCCTCGATTTCCAAAGTTGCCAAATATCATGAAGGCGCGAAAGAAACCCATTGACACTCGAGATGTGACTTCACTAGGTGTGGATATAAAACCTAGAATGACAAGGAAGAATGTAACGGAACCGGCACCTCGCAAGGCTGGTATCAAGGTAAAGTCGGTTGAGGAGTTGTACGATAAGTTGCAGAATGAGGCTAAAGTGCTCTAGGTTTATATGGCCTCCGTACAGTCACATTTGAAATGTGAACTACCAGTTAAAAAAAAAAAGAAGAGAGAAAGGTACCCTGTTTACCTAAATATATATATTATACGTATATATGTATGTACATATACACGTCAAGTGTTCTGGTCAATTGTATGCGAGCGAGATGGGAATTTTTCTGGGTATCACTCTGTGTAGAGTTGGGGAGAGGAAGAAGTGAGGGGATAAGAGTCATTAGTTAAATTGTTGGGTGCATGAATTGGTACCGTGAAGAAAAATCAACAAAAAAAAAGAAGAAAACTATAAATTTAAAAGGTTTTCTTGGGTTTATGTCTTTTTTTCAATTCATTTTTTTGCTTTCTATTTATTGCGTAGTTTTTGTTTTTATACCCCACACAGATTTTTTTATTTTATATATATAGGTCTGTATGAGATGCTCTTCGACACTGTACAAGGTGACAAAGGTGCCTACGCGTAGTATTGTGCCTGCCGACGTACTTCGATACCACCCTAGATATTCTGTATCTCGAAAAATGGTTCTGAGTAGTTCATTTGACGCTGTAGATGAAAATAACCGATTTGTTTCACTTCGCCTTATTCTAGAGAAGCTTAGTGGACATGTTGGAAGGAGACAGTATAAGATGCTCTGTGATTCCACTCGATATTACGAGAAACTAAAGAATGAAGGAATAGATTGGCATGAACTCAAATGGCTTAGTAGAGAAGAACTTATTGATCTTTTTGATAGTGTTCTTAAACTATCACACGCAGAAAAAGCTCTCCTATTACCTGCTATTGAGGCAAAAATATGTGGCGTACTTCGTCGCTCTGACACGAGACATTCTACAACATTGTGTTTAAATCGAGGTGTTGCAGAGCATGGGTGGCGGTGTGGACTCTATGGTCACACCAATGATGTTTATTTTGAGGGAAAGGCAAAGGCTAATCCTTCTATGCTGGAGTTGTATCATCGTTCTTCGGTGAGAAGCGTCGAACGATCTGGTGTTCGCGTTGAAGTTCGAACGGCGCCTGATTTTTCTGTAGTAGGTCGCTTTAATCATTCTCTCAGTCCACGTATCTGGAGCACACCAGAGAATCCAACTTTTCAGGTTTCTACAATTGGCTACGAGTTCCGCGTTAATCCAGATGATCCACGAGTAATACCACAAATTGAAGAGGCAGCCGAAGAGTGGGAACTTCATGCTGCTGTTACTCAACAAGTAGTGTGGGAAATGTTAGAAATGTATGCTGTGGAAAGAAATCCACAACCATTAGAGCTAAAATCAGGAGAAATGGGGAGACCTGATTACCCGAGCTTGTATTCGAGTGCATTTAGTGTACGATTCAATTCGACAGTCGACGCATCAGATAGTGGTGATATAGTAACTGAACAACGGATGATGTCCGCGGATGGTAAAGAGGTGCCGTGGTTTAGGGAGCCCCTTCCACAAAATTTTAAAGATGGAATTCCTGTGATTTTACCTTTTGCACCTTCTTTAATTATAAGGAGCTCCTTCCGACAAGTAACATGTTCTTCTTCGAATGATCTTACACATCAATTACTTCAACCAGTAGTGGATGTGACTTGCTTTGTGCACCCCCAAGCATGTTTTTGGTGGTCTGAGGAGGATGAGGAACGTTGCATTGGTCATATAGTAGAATACGCCAAGCGTATACCATTTGCATTACCCTTTAATTTGTACCTTCGAGTAGACTCCTCAAAAGACCTTCGAAGTACACCAAGTAAGGTAGAAATGATGGATAAACGTAGAAAAGAGAAATCCCATTACTTTGACTTGCGGGAATTTCGGAAACTTCAGCTAAATGACCCAAGAGAGTAACAGACATATTTATATTCTAATAACTCTCTTGCAGTACATTAAAATAAAAATAATGATGATTTTTTTTCTTCCAAAAGTAAATGTGAAAAAAACGAGAATGAAGAAGAAGAAAAATAATAATAGAAATAAAAGGCGCTTTTATTTTTATGTTGTTACCACGATTATTCTATCTGAGTTTGCTTTTCCTGTGCATATAACCCCAAATAAGTAAAAAAAAAAAAAAGAAAAAAATGTTCAGGTAAAGAAACTGTTTTGATTTTTAAATGATGGAAAGCTGTTACTTTTTTTTTTTTTATTATTTTCTTCACTTACTTACTTTCTGCTGGTCATCCTCTTATTTTTCTTTTGGTTTAGGTCATCTCCCCCCACTTTTTTTTCCCTTTAGTCCACTTATGTCAGGGTCTATTTCCTCTGTCTTATGTGTACACCCTTCTTCCACAAATAAACACTACACTGTTGTGAACGATACCACTGTGGAGTTAAAAGGGGATGAGTCAAGGAGGGTGGTGGTAGATGATGTCCTGGAGAAAGCAACTGGTGCTGCTGTTTGGAATTCTGTTGGTGAGCATGCATTACAGGCGGTTTCAACAGGTAAACAAGTAGTTGTCTTTGTGAGTGGTTCTACTGGGAGTGGCAAAACACAAATAGTTCGTGGTAACGCTGAAAATCTTAATGATGGACTTATTATTTGTGTATTAGAAGCAGTAGCAAGAGTGGGAGAGTCCACCTTGTGCTTGGTTCGTGTTCATAACGATACTGTTCAGGACTTGTTTACAAATGCAGACAACCTAAAGCTTAAGCAGGAGGAAGGAGGTACTGTCGTTGTGAATGGGGCAACCATTATGCGGGTAAATTCCGTTGATGAAGGAGTACAGCACATCAAAAGTTGTTTTTCCAGGTGGAAAGATATCTTCACTTCAAATCCATCAGTAGAGGCTAATTCCTTCCTTGTGGCGTTTCTTAAGTGTAACGGAGGTGGTTGCATCACTGTTCTGGAATCTTGTGGAACTGAGGGATTTCTCAATATTTCTGGTTCAATAACACCAGAAATATTGACAGAGACGGAAAAGAAGAATAAAAATTTTTCTCATCTTTCGGAGTTGTGGGTTGAGGGTGCAACAAATGCTGATTCGAAGGCTCTTAATTTTCGTGAAACAAAACTTGGTCAGATTATTCAGCCTGGTCTTTCTGCTGCCATGGAACATAACGGCTATGCAGTACATGTTGTTTGTGTAGACGACATAAATGGTTCTATGGAAGAGGCAGAATATATGATTTCTTACAGTGGAGCCTGTGTAAAACAGGAGGCTCTAAGAACAGTCAGTGAATATAAAGAAATAATTGCAAAACTTGAGGAAAATATTGAAGAAAATAAAAAGTCGTTAGATATTTTACAAGAAAGTACAAAGGTAGCTGAAAATGCTGCCTTGACTCTCCAACAAGAGTTTTCACGGAAATTGATGGATTTACAAGAGCGCTCTAATAAGATGAATTCCAGCTTGGAGGAAGAAAAGATAGAGCATCAAAAAACATTTGTAAATTTTGCAAAAGTCTACGAGCAAAAGTTACTTGAACTAAGAGGAAATCGTGAGGGTGAAGCTGAAAGAATACGTAATTTAGAAAAAAATGCTCCTTTGCAAGTGACGATGGAAATTAAAAAAATGAAGGAAAATATTCTTTTGGAGCATAATCAGTATATGAAGAATCTGCAGGAAAGTATAAACACGGTTACAAAGGAGATTAATGCTATTAAGGATAGAATAGAGACGCGCAAAAATTCACTTGAGCGAAAAAAACTTGAAGAGGTTAACGCATTGAAACCAATAAAACCTCTTGAAGAGGAGGTGATGAAACTACGAATTGCGTTGAAAGCTTCTTCTGGGAGAAACCGAGAGAGTGGTCTTACCCCAGATGAAATAGAAAAAAATAGGTTGCTTTGGAGTACTCGTGATGAACTTGATGACCTGGTGTCTGACTTGGAGCAGTTGGCTGAGGATTCCCTGCGACTGGAAGGGGTGTTGAAGGTGGGAGCTGGAAGACCAGAGGATAAGAGCGACTCGGATGAATCGCTCGAAATTGTTCACGAAACAAGGGAGCAAAGAGCTGAAAAGATGATGAAAGAAAAAGCTAAAGAAGAGGCAGAACAACGACAAGCTGAAGAGGAGAGAAGGTACAACTTGGAATGGAAACATTTTCAAGAAACCATACGAAGAGATGCCTTTCTGACGGATTTGTTAAATAAAGTTATAAATTATCTCGGGTATGGAACAAACTGTACGGTAGTCACTCCTGATGGACTTCAACGGAAATTTATTTATCTACAAAATGGGAGTACTGAGATTGGATTACTCAAACACGATGTGGATAAGGGAAAAGTGCCACTTGGGAAAGATCCAGAAATTGTGTACCCCATTTCGAACATTAAAGCTATTCACCTTGGCCAGCACTCTACTACGTTCCAAATGCATCTTTGCACGATCAGGGGTAGAACAGACCCTTCTCGTGAAGATATTCCTTCTGATATGGAAGAAGTAAACATAGCAAATATACATCGTTATTATTATCGTAGCTTGAGTATTCAATTCACAGAAGAAAAAGGTTTTTTAGACTTTATAGCAGACACTGAAACTGACTTTGAGGGATGGGTTTCTGCACTTTATCAAATTACAGGGAAAAGACCTATATGGGGAAAAAGATTATTTATTGACCTGGCACCAGGATTCGAGAGTCTTTCATCTTTGGAACGAGACTTTTGTGAGATTAATCATATCCTCCCGATGGAATATCTTCGAAGTAAAGAAGCTATACTTGAGAACAACAGACGTTCCCTTGTTACACTCTATGATATTCGAAGAATTTGTAGAATTGATTTACATCACTCTCAAAAGCTTCAAGAATGTTGGACAAAGCAGAGGTGGTTGACGCAACGTCACTTGAACTATTTTAAGTATCAAGAGTATGCTGACAATCTTGCTGATCAGAGCGATAAGAGTCTTGATGATGATGAGGAGGAGGAGGAGGAAGAGGAAGAGGAGGAAGATGATTAAACATATGACTAACGATGATTATGATAACTTCACGGGTGCTTGTGATTAGATATCCGATGACAGTGCAAATGAACAAAAACATTATACTTTTTTTCTTTTTCTTTTTATATTAGTAGTACTATCGTTTTTTTTTTTTTTTCTTCCTCAGTGGTTTTCGTACGATAAAAAAAAAGGGACATTTGATATTGGGAATGGATGTAACTGTTATTCTTAGAATGTAATAAAAATGATAATAGTAATAATACTAATTTAACTGTATCATAATGAATGCTGGTGTTGACTAACATTTCCATTGTTTTCTTTTTTTTCTTTCTACTGTCTCAATACGATAGAGAAAAAACCTCAGTTTAATTTTATTCTAATAAGGCCATAAAGAGCCGTGCCAACACCTTTCCTCTCCAAGTCAAAGAAAGAGAACAAAAGATGCCGTTGAGTCCGGCCAGAACAATGCGCGTTAAGGCGCAGAAACAAAACAGTCAGATACACACTCCTCGTCTTTCAGATGAAGAGAAAAAACGCCTTCGAGAGAAGAAAGAAAATAAGTCTCCTGTCCCGACATGGCTTGTGATCCTGATGTTGTTCATTGTTCTCGGATCATCAATTGTACATATATACTTTAAAATTGTTTCCTCACCAAAGATGGGTCAAGTTAGCTAGGTATATTATTGAGGACATGCTCTATTTTGATGTATGGGCTAATAGTAATTGTTTTTGCTCTTCATTTTGTATGTTTAAATGTGTTTAAGTAATTGCCAATGAGACTCTTAATATTCTATGCTAGAAAATATTAATGGATTCTCTATTATTTATTTACTTTTTTTTTCTTATTATTCGTTTTCACTACATGTAGGTAGTATACAATTTTGAGTTATGTTTACACAGTGCCGAGCGTTATGCTCGCAGTTCCTCAAGCGGACGTTTGTAGGAGGCATGGCGTATAATGTGAAGCGACCTTATCGCATCGATATTCGTATGGAACATGACAAGAAGCGAAGAATGAAGCGACGCAACATTGGCTGCAGGCGAATGATGAAATCCTAGTGAAGTCGGTGCGTTTTAATTTATTAGCAGGTATTTTTGCTTCTTATTCTCTCGTTCTTTTTTTTTTTTTTTCTATGTTAACGTGATCTTTGTAGTTATATAGAGGTATTAATAAGTGATTCATAATAAGTTTTTTCCTGCTTCTTCTGTATTTTTTCTTTCCCTTACTCTCTAGGGTGTAGAACAAAGGTGGAGTTCTTCTTTTGATTCCTCCTCATTTTTGTATACAGTTGCACAAATACGTACGTAAGACCAATGAAGATGCGGTCTTCTCTCTATAACACATACAACCCAGAAAAACGAGATGAAGAAGGGAATAACGTCAATAATTCTCATTTTGAGGACGAGATTATACGTGAGAATGAGGCTATTTTGAGTGCTCTTGGTAACACTGTGAGTAGAATGAAGGCATCGGCAGGTGTGCTTCGCAATGAAGCTGGGGATCACAACCGGTTGCTTGACACTTTGAGTGGTGCATTCTCTAGGGCAAGTGGAGGAGTAGGCCGATCAGTGCAGCGGATTGAGGGTGTTATGAATCGCTACGGGTGGCGACACACACTTCTCATAGGTCTGATGGTTTTTATGACTATCTACGGTGTATACCATATTTTGAGAAGATGACTAAAAGGACTCATATATATATATATATATATATATATATATATATGTCTGTGTTTATGTGTGTCTGCTTTTTTTTTATGTTTTCACTTCAATAAAAAAAATGTTAAAATGGTATCCGACTCTATTCTTGTCATAATGAATGTTCATCCTTTTTTTTTTTATTATTATTCTCCAATTTTATTTTATTTTATTTTACCAAAGGTTTACAAATGGTGTGAACACTTTTGTGGTTTTAGTTACTTCGGTCGCTCTCGTGGCCACTGTCGTTGCCGCTTTCTCTTTTTGTTTTTGTGCCTCCAAAAAACGAGTGAAGCGCACAAATTGTTTCGTCCAGGTGACACGTTGGAGAGTAGTGGATCCCTACTTCTATAATGGTGTTTGGGATAATCAGAAGTTGGACACGTATGCTTTCCTTGTAGAACAAGAACAAAAATTTCCTCGTGTTTTGGCTGCCTTTGACCGACGATGGGGTGGTTATCTTTGCCCTTCTTGCTCAAATTTCAGTGATAGGGATATAGAAGTTGTTATGCGACATCATTTGCATTGTGTTAATTCTGTGAAAAATGCAGTTCACTCAAACAGAGGATGGTGGACGAATGTGTACGATAGATCTTATGTTACCGTTTTTTTTTTTGTTTTGTTTTTTCTTCTTTTGATTATTGTTGTTTTTGTTTTGGCAAATTGTGGTTTTGTTACCTTTTGAATCTATCAATGAATGAACTTTTCTTTTTTTTTTTGTCTTGTATAATTCGTATATATGTATATATATAGGGACACCAAGTGAAAGCAAAATGCTAAGGAGAATAAATATCCCAATCGCGAAGGGTATTACGGTCCTAGGGTGCCGCATGCCGTTGTTACTCTCGTCTTCTCGGTGGGAGTCAAACAAACATAATGCGCAACCGAGTGAAGTGGATACAGATATGGATGATTTCATGATGTTTGACGGCGACTTTCAGTTTCTTGATGAGTACTTCGGTGAAGGAGGTGCCGACGTTTTTGACTATATTCCAGAAAATGAGGCAGCTCTTCTAGGTCATGATAGGCGTTAGAAAATAATATTGTATTGTGGTAACTCATATTGGCTTTTAGGTCTTATTAAAATATATTATAAATTCTGCTCTCATCTCAAATAGGTGAGAAATCAAGGAATATATATATTAAAAAAAAAAAACTTTGAGATGTGGTATAATCTCTTTTCTTTTTCCTTTTCTTTTTCTTGTTGTGTATGTGTACGTATTATAAATGTACTTTAGATGGGTAGCAATAACATGGATGCGCCACTTGCGCAGCGAACTTCATCGCTTTATGTCGGTGATTTACCGGTAGAGATGAATAACCCGGAGGAAGTACTTGGTAGGCTGTTCGGCAGTGTTGGACCTGTTGCTTCTATCAGAGTTTGTCGTGACATGAATACACAACGCTCTCTTGGCTACGCCTATGTGAATTTTCAGAACCCAGCAGACGCGGAGAAAGCCATTGAGAGTTTCAACTACACAGATATTATTCCTGGACATTCTATTCGTATCATGCCGTCAATGCGTGATCCTATTTTGAGACGTGCTGGAATTAATAACCTTTATGTGAAAATAGCTGATAGGTCATTAACAGCAAGGGATTTGCGTGACATATTTTCCAGGTATGGTAAAATTCTTTCTACCAAAGTAACTTGTGATACGAACGGAAAAAGTCTTGGCTATGGATTTGTTCAATTTGAAACCGCAGAGGGTGCTAAGACTGCTCTTGAAAAAAGTGTTGAGAGCCTTGGTGAAGCTATCATTGCCGTTGCACCTTTTGTTCGGAAAGCAGAACGTTTGGCGCAGGAAGAGAAAAAATTTGTTAATGTTTATGTAAAGAATATTAAACCTGGAACTACAGAGGATGAAATACGAGGAGAATTTAATAAATTTGGAGAATTAAAGTCTTTATTTCTTTCAGGACATCCTCAACATCAAACCATGTTTTGTATTCTTTCTTTTTTGACACATGATGCCGCAGTTGCTGCCATTGAAGCCATGCACAACAGTGTCTCTAGTCCCATTCTGCTACCCGATAGTAAACTTTTTGTCTGCAGAGCTTTGAAAAAACGAGATCGTCAAGAAATTGCTCAAAGTAGTCAGACTTTATATCAAAGTCAAGGTCGAAATCTTTATATAAAACATCTGGATGAAAGTGTAACACGCGAAAAACTTGAAGAACTTTTTTCTCCATTTGGAAAAATTGTTTCATGTGTTTTGATGAAGGATGCATCTGGAGTTTCAAGAGAATTTGGGTTCGTTTGCTTTGAAGCGAAAGAAATTGCTGACACTGCCCTACGTGAAATGAACGGCAAAACTGTCTTTGGGAAGCCTTTGTATGTCAGTTACGCAGAGCAAAAAGATATGCGGTCTCGCATACTTCATGAGAAAATACAAAGGATGATACGACAGCAGCATCAACGCACTACTATGCCAATGACCATATTAAGCAAACCGTGGACTCGCAACTATCCGGCTAATTCTGTTTTCAGGCCCCCATTCATGCAACCATTCCATGCGAGACGGCAGCCACCTCATCCTCCTCCTCCAATGTTTATGACCTCATCTATGCAGACGCCACCACCTCCTCCTCCTCCAGTACCATCCCAGTTAATGAACCACGGAACCAATAGAACTTATTACACACAACCCCATTTTCCAGTACCGCCACTACCACCGCCACCACCTCCACCACCACCCATTCACTCGGCACAACAGGTGTGGCAAGGCGCCAATGGTGAAGCTTTACGAGAGAGTCATCTTTCGAATTTATCACCTGAGGAAAAGCGAAATATTCTGGGAGAACGCTTGTTTAGCAAGGTAATGGAAATTCAACCGAATCAAGCGGCAAAAATTACTGGCATGTTGCTTGAGATGGAAACAGCAGAAATTCTTGAAATCCTGAATACATCATCTCTTTTAACAGCAAAGGTTGAGGAGGCCATCGTAGTTCTCCGTCAACATACAAACCGAGTATAGCGCCAAAAAAAAAAAAAAAAAATTACGTTTGAGATTTTTAAAAATGAGGCTGCGTCACTTAATTATACAATTAAAAGGAAGAAAATTCTTTCCATACCGGGAGTTGTTGTGGGGTGGGGGGACAAAATGAAAACATTGACCGAATAAAGGAAAAAATATAGTGGAATTGTTGCTTTTCAAGGAGCTCTTTAGGTAAATGTAGTCATGTTGCCCTTTTTTTTAAAAAAAAAAGAATATAAACTCTTTATATAGTATTGCTCATTTTTCCTTTTTTTTTGTTTGTTTGCATTGCATCTGCTTGGAGGGGTGTGCAATGATACTTACCGAGTCTACTCAACCATGTTGAAATCTGTGTCATAGTAGAAAGTGCTTGGGTTACCATTGGGGAGACATTAACTCTTCACGCGGGGACGTAATTCTTGGCGATTGGTACCGGCAAAGTTCTGATCTATGCGCATTTAGTTAAAGTGAAGTATGTATAAGCAGTAGGAGTACTATAATGCATTTTTTTTTTTTTTTTGGTACACATGGATCCGTACAGGGATGGTGTTTCTTTTAATTTTTTTTTGTTTGATGAAATTTAATAAATGATTTTATGCATTCATTCAGTGTGTGTTTCTGTGTGAGTGAACATGTGCGCACATATTATTTTGAGAAAAAAAAATTAGGCGTAATACAATCTTTATCTTTAGTTATTTTGCCAAAGTATCCTATCAAATAAACCAATATGAACTAAAACTATGGTATTCTATTTTTATTTTGTTTTTGTCAGGTTTACTGTCTTTAATGCCATTCATATCATCATTTTGAATGCACTTCCACCTCTTCCCTTTCTGTTTTTCCTTGTTTTTAATTCACAGAGTTGACCACAAATTAATAAGCCAAAAAGAAGATATTTATTCCAATCACATTTTGTCTCTTTACCAACCAGATTTTTCTTGCATTTACCAAATTGAAGGGTATACAAAACAATAGGGGAAACTGGATTTTTGAAGATTGTATTCAGTACAGCGGAAGGATTTTTCTCTTCAGATGATTGCAGAGTGCCTATCGTTTGTGCTCTTGTGGAGCTCTCTTCTTATCACTGATTTTCGTATGCCTGACTTTCAGAAAGATTTAATCCTCGCTCAGGTAAGTAACTTGTCATGTTCCAAAATAGATATTGGTGCGATGAGTGGCACGTTCAACTCCTCGCTCTGGTCTCTGGAAACAAAGAATTCCTCTGATATTGTATGCGCTGTCACACTGAAAATGGGCCGTTTAATTTATCTGGTGAATTCTGATGTGGCTATTCAACCTTCTTAGATATCTCTCTCCAAGGCTGTGGACGACACCTGTTACAGTGTAAACAGTACTGTAAATACCTGTAACACCAGTCTAAAAATTGGAAAGGTAAAGTTACAACCACCCAATCCTTCCCTTGAGAAAATAATTAATGATATAAAGGGTATGCTTGAGAAAAAGTTCGAAGACCTTGTCTGTGATTCAGGAATCAAATCTCTTCGGGAGGAGTTGCAGAACCACATCCCCAACTTAACCCTAACGCAACGCCATTGGAGGGCAGTATGCTCTTTCGAACACTTGTTAATGTGATGAACAAGGCTCCACCAATTTTGGGTATTCGCTTTGGTGCATCACTTCACGCTGGCACCACATTGCATTTGAATTTGGATTTTTCCAATGGGTTAAATTTCGTACTCGACGATTTCACTGAGTTGGGGTCCTTTGTGGAGAAGTTGGTGGGTATTCTTAACATGTTGGAACTTGGGAAACTTGCCGAGTACTTGTTGGAGCACCTTCCGGTTATTGAAGGTGCTTTCGTTGGGGTTAATAATCCACAACCCTTCAGTGTTTCTCTGGAAGTTTCCTTGAATGATTTTCGGTGTGACGCCGATGGTTTTTACTGCAGTGTGCCGCGTTCTGGTGGTATCATTCTGGGAAATATTCGAACTAAAAACCTTGGCGAATGGGATCGTCTCATCGTAAACAATTTGGGGCCATTTTCTGCCCCACTAATAAACCACGCTATTGAGGAAATCTTGGGTTATATAAATGCTACGGGTCCCCGTTTCTACATCCCCATGATGGAACTGGCTGATGCGCATACGGTTCCATCCACTCCTCTTTTGGTGTGCATGATAATTGTGGTTGTAATTCTTATTGCCGGCACTGTTGTATACACTATCTGGCGCTACCAGCGCACATCAGTTACCACAAAAGAGGGTGTTAATGTGTCCTTGAAACGTGTTTTAATTGAAGATCTTCTCTTAATGGGAATGTGTGCTTTAACTGCATTTGGTTTTGCGTGGTCAAACGCCACCACTGCTGCTACCTTGACAGTTGGTGGCGAGATGCACTTCATGTCCTTCTCACTCATGGAGACTACCAAGAATATGTTTCAGGCTGGTGTATATGCATTTGGAATCCTTGTGTTTTTATTCAGCGGTGTGTATCCCTACATCAAGTTGGCGGCCATTATTCTGTGTACGCTTATTCTACAGAAACCAGACCTGGTTCTCTTGAGAGTTATTGACTACTTTGGTAAGTTTTCCTTCCTTGATTCATATGCCATGCTTATTATGGCAGCGGGACTGCAGATAGAGGGAATTGCAGAAGTTGAGATTCTTCCTGGTTTTTATGCGTTTCTCTCATCAACGATTCTGTCTATTCTCGTTGGCAACTACCCCACAACAGTGTGGCGTCGCAATACATCGCTTCGTGTGAATTCCAAAAAGAAAGGACCATTCGATCCTGAGACACCCGTACTGGTTGTTGAAGGAGAAGGAGACAACCAAGAGATCAAGCGAAAGAAAGATACCAATTGGAAAAGACGTTTATTTCTTCGAATATTCAATTTTGTCTTTATCGCTGGGTGTATAATACCTGCGTGGGTTCTCCCCTGTATCCGCTTCAGTGTGACAGGATTGGCGTCTGTGGTTCAGCCTGATGACCAGGAGATGAGTTTGTTGGAGCTTGGCAAGATAAACTGGTTCTTTTTACTCACATGTATTCTCACCGTTGGCATCGCCCCCATTGCCTATGGCGTCATGTACCCTCGCTGTTCCTTTTTTGCGTCCTGGAGCGCAGCTGACGCACTTTTGTTGGCGTGTGTTGCTGGTCTGTTGCAGATTGGGCAGTTTGTGGACTACATGCTTGGGAGTAACATGGGAGCTCTCTACGGGGCGCGTGCAAATCTGCTGTGGCCGCTGCTGCTGCTGCTCCTTGGATCCATGTGGCAGTGGCTGCTTGCGGCGGAGCACAGGTTTGGTATCACAGAGCGTGTTGGCCGTTCTTTTGCTAAGCGGAAGCTTTCTCTGCCCGCTGAGGCTTGACGAAAAGAGGGAGAAAAAAAAAAAAAACGAAAAAAAATATATGTTTTTTTCGTTTTCGTTTGGTTTTTTTTTTGGTTTTCTTTTTGAGTTGTTTAATATCTCTCACTATTTTCCTCCCCTCACTCGTTTTTTTTTTTTTTTTTCAACTGATACGCCGGTAAAACCTAAACAACAACCAAGAAGAAAATCCTAATACATTCTTTCCCCCTTTGATTATTTGATTAAACTGGAAGAAAACACGGTCGTTGCACCCCCATTCGCAGAATATGCTGGGGTGTGCCCTCCGTATCTTTTTTTTTTTTTTTTTCTTTGCAGTAAAGATGAAAAAGAAACAGGAGTCTGAGAGTTATGTCTCAAGGCATGAAAGAAGAAAGTAAAGAAGAAAATCACTGTGAATAAAAAAGAGTTTAAAAAAAAGGAATATTATTTTAAAAAAAGTAAGCATTATATGTATATCTAAATATGTGTATTTGTTTTTCTGATTTACCTACATACCTTCTGCGTCGAACTCACAAGTGGGCACACGAAGGAGAACACGTAATGCGAAATTGCCGGGTGGTGCAAACGCCTGGGAGAAATGGCATGGAAAAGTCAATTACACGAAAGAAAACATAATAAATACATTGGAATCATGGAAAAAAAAAGAGGGTCAAAAAAGGACCCGATGGGGTAGAATAGAATACTCTTTGTTGTAATCTCTGCTGGGTCCCTGAAGCCAGGTCCCATACCTTTTTTATTTTTATTTTCTTTGAAGTTATGACTTGCTGCAAACAACCACAAAAAAAAACTACAACATCATCAGTATGTTTATTGATTTATTTTTGCTATTTTTTTCATGATTCATTTTTTTTTTTTGTAATAGGGGCAAGACAAAGCGGTGCACTATGGAGTAGACATATGGAAGTTCATAATGACCACTGATAAACCTTTTGTTGTTTGCAATGAAAACATTTTGGAAGTCAAAACCATCATGACGTTTTGGCGTGCAGCACCCTGGCGCAGTGGAAGCGCGATGGGCTCATAACCCATAGGTCGTTGGATCGAAACCAACCGGTGCTATTGTTTTCTCTTTACTGAAAAATCAGTATCTGATTTGTATTGGAGTTTTTTTTTCTTTTACTCTTTTCCACCAAGGGATATCTTTGATTTCTCCTTTGCGCGGGATTTACAGAGACATTCAGAGTGGACAACGGTGTCTTGTTGAATGTTGGTATCTTGTAGTATATATATATTACTGTGGTGTTTTGATCCTCTGTTGGGTCATAGGATTACCCGGTCATTACTTGAAGAAGCCAATCATGAAGGAAAGAAATGCCTCTTTGAGTTGGTGCAACTATCAGAAAGGTAAAAAAAAAAAAAAAAATCGTTTCCATTTCTCATAACTGAAACCCTCAGCTTTCTTGAAGACTCCGTCCGGTCATGACCTGAGTCTCTGTATGGTTCTTCACTTGGACGTTTCTCCACATATGTGTGATGAGGTGTTTTTGATGGTCAGGCAAGCAAAAAGAAAGCATTTTGGCTCTGCTGTATGAGGTGTACCCCACTCTGAAACTGTGTTAAAAGTATTGGAGCAAGAAAGAGGGATGATGTACTGTACTAAGATGTTTTCTTTTTCTTATTTTTCACCAGGGACACTCTCTGGTGTTTGTCTCGCTCTTGGAGAGAGTG